GGTCACGGTCACAGGCCAGTTGTTTGCAGTCCAATCCGTTTCTTCGGCTTTCCTTCCCCGCTCCCCAGTACATCTCGCCGCTTCCGGCGGTAAAATTAGAACAAAAAAGCTACTAGTGGTGGTAGGGTAGGGTAGGAGTATAATAATTTGAGCTCCAGCCGGCTTCAACAGAATTTGATTTCTTTCCAGATTCGTAATCCTCCATATCTTCACCACTCGAGATGTAAATTTCTTCTTTGATCACTCTTCTAAATCTTCTGGATCTCCTTTTCTACCCAAAATTATCACCTCCTCCTGGATCTCTCACCTCCATTGTTAGTTTTTACCTCAAGTCCGTAAGCATTTTCCTTTTCAATCATTTCTTTTTTTTTTTTACTTGCTCATTTGTAAGTTAAAGTTGAATCTCAGCTCTTCATTTCTTTGTGAAGCTCATTTTTCAGGTGATTTTTTTTTTCTAAAAGTTAATTAATTTCGTGGAATACCTCGATTTTAACGAAGCTATGCAGTAGGACTGCTGCATTTTTCATTTGAAACTTATGCATTTAACGCTGAATTGGTTAAATTTCTTTGTAAATTTGTAAAATTTTGATTAATTTATGTAACGAAATTAATCAGCTCTATGCTATCTAGATTAGTAAGGTAGTAGTATAACTTTGTAATATAAATGTCATCGCTGCTAAGAACGCTGTCGCTGTACCACGATCGGCCGTATCAGAACGGAGGAAATCAATTTTCCGTTAACTCGCCGTCTCACAGGGCGTTATCCAATGCCAAAAGTTCGTCTCCGTTGTCGCCGTTCTTTCCCGGTGTACTTTCACAAAAAAGTTCGCGTAAAGGCATGAGCTCGTGGAAAAAATGGTTTTTTAGGTGTTTGATATTTTTCTCGCTGGGGTTTCTATTAGGCATGGCTCCCTTTGGGGGATATGAGGATGTTAAAGGCCGTGATTTCTCGTTCGAGGAGAATACCATGGCAAAGTCGGCAGAAAATGATGAGGGGGATGTGAGGAATTTGTTGGTTGTGGAGGCGAAAGGTGGGGAAGGTTTAGTCGTGGATAAAGTTGAACTACGGGTTGTTGAGGAAAAAGAAGTGAAGGAGCGGTTTGATTTTGTTCCACGGAAGCAGTTGATTGTGGTGACACCGACGTATAATAGGGCACTTCAAGCTTATTATTTAAATAGGTTAGGACAGGTTCTGAGGCTGGTGCCGCCGCCATTGTTATGGATTGTGGTAGAGATGAATGTTGCATCGTCGGAGACTGCAGATATTTTAAGGAAGACTGGGGTTATGTACAGGCATTTGGTGACTACCAAGAATTTGACGGATGTAAAGGACAAGAGCGTGCATCAAAGAAACACAGCACTGGAGCATATTGAGAATCATAAGCTTGATGGGGTTGTGTATTTTGCTGATGATGATAGTATCCATTCACTCGAGTTATTCGAGAGCTTGAGAGAAATCAGGTAACTTGATTGTGATTAGCATTGCAACTGCTTTTAGTTTTCTTGTTATTCTTGTACGCTAATGTTTGGGATTCTATTCAGTGATATTTGTGCTGCGTCAGTTGAATGAGAGTTCAGACCTTATAACTGATCAATACAAGCCTTATCTCTGCTTTTGTTGATTGGTCGAAATCACTGGAAACTCAAAGCATAAACGAAGAATTCTATGACTATCGTAATTCCATTGTGGCTTTGTGTAGTGTTGAAGGATTTCAGAACTTTAGGTTTTCTGCTTAGTAATTAAGTATGCACTACTAGATCCTTCAAGCTAAGGAAATCAAGGAAAATTGACAAATAATAACATCAGAAGAGTAACACAAGTGTGGCTTCATTGAAATGGTGCACCTAAGCTCAGTTTCATTATTTACTATTGATTTAGTTGTTGTTTGCATCTAGAAATATGATATATGATACATCCTCTCATTTCATTATTTATGAGTTGGAGTAATTTAAATTGGAGTTTATATATGTAATTTTTAGACATTTCCTGAAAGAATTGCTGACTTTTTATTGTTTTTCTCAATCGCTTTTATGATTTTTTCGGGGTTTTTCGTTGTTTTCATGTTTATTGTGTGGTAGTTTTTCTTTTTCTTTTTCTTTTTTTTTCATGTTTTTGTTTTCATGTTTATGTCTTGTATTTTTCTATATTAGATTAGGGAACTTTTTATGAATTCTAAGAGAGGAGAGCTTCTATGAGAATTGGTCCAGCCTCACATCTTTCTTAAAATTTTAATGCTCTTAAGAGATGGAAGTCGATAGTTAAGTTCTTTGACTAATCCTTAACATTGATGAGGTCAAAAAGAGATCGATGAGGTCATTCAAGACAGTGTATTTGGATGCAGTAAGGAGGAGAAATGGACTCTTGACAATCGAATTGGATGGTTATCCTAATTTGTTTGTTTGCCACATGAGTCTCCTTTGTTTATTTGGTGACGGGAGATTGTTATTTGATTTCTTGACATTGATGCCATGGAATTTTTATCTGATTGACAAGGCAGTTATATTTTCTGATCTTAGCTACCTACCTGAACCTCAAGAAAATAAAATTAGTGAGATGAAAGGAATCGTGTTCCTCTTTTCTTGCCATAACTTTCCTATTATTCTATACAGGCGTTTTGGTACTTGGCCGGTTGCAATGTTGGCTCAAACTTGGAATAAGGTGGAGTTGGAAGGTCCCGTGTGTAATGGGAGTCAAGTAATTGGATGGCATACAAATAAGAGTAAAGGACTTCGTAGATTCCACATCGATATGTCAGGTTTTGCTTTCAATAGTACAATATTGTGGGATCCAAAAAGATGGCAACGTCCAACTTCAGATCCAATTCGGCAGTTAGATACTGTGAAGGAGGGTTTTCAGGTATGGATTATGTCTTTGCAGTATAAATTATCCATTTATGTTTGGGATCCTTATTTTGTGGAATTGATGGGTTCTCACTCAGAACCAAAGCAGATGGACAAAACTCAGTTTTCATTGTGTCTCCTTACAGGGAACCACATTTATCGAGCAAGTTGTAGAAGACGAAAGCCAAATGGAAGGCCTTCCTCTTGGTTGTTCAAAGATACTGAATTGGCACCTCAAGCTGGAAGCACGTGAACTTTTTAATCCTAAAGCTTCACTGCTGCAGAAGAACCTTGATGCCTGAGCTAATTGTTGCAATTGACACTGGCCAATATACCTTTTGATGCAGGTATGTGTTCGAGATTTTGACTCTGATGGTTGGCCATGGTTTGGGAACAAATTATTCTCCTGTGTCTAAATCAAGTAAAAGCTAAAAGGAAACGGATTGTAGTAGGCCTTATGATGGACAGAAATTTTTCTAAGCAAACAGATAGACAAAGAAAGAAAGTAGGGTAACTTAGGCTTTACGTCAAGGATTATCAGATGTATATGTTATTCCTCTCTCATTGGATATTGTTGCACTTGCTATTATGACTAGTGAAGTGTCTCTGTTTTCTCTTGTTTTAGTTATGAAAAGATATGACTGCTGATATTACTATCTTTCTCTGCATGTTAGCACAGCATATTGTGGTAGACCACCTTCATCTAAAAGCAGGGCATTGCATCATGTGATCCTCCACAAGCTGAAGCAGTTCATGTTGGAACATAGACGTTGAAGCAAGAATCAGGAACTTTTGTCTGTAGCTGTTTTCTGTTTTCATGCCATTTTTGGTTAATAGCGAGGAACATTCCGTATAATGGTGGAAGGTGGATATTCTTTTAGTTTCTTCAAAAATTTCCTTTTTATATTTATCATCATTTTTTCAGTGAATCACATGGTCATAGAATTTTATGGCCTGGTTCTTGGGAGGATTACTCCCCTAACATCATGTGCAAGCAAACTCCTTCCCTACCCTAATCAGAAGCATGATCATTAGTTGCTAAGATTTGCTTCTGCTTCCCCAAGTTTGCTCCACCAGACACCCACCCTATGTCCTGCCATCATTTACTTGCAGTCCTAGATAGAGGCAGCTGCAGGAGCAGGATCATCTTTTTTTTTTTTCCTCTCTGGACAGGATAACAATTGTATAACTTATTCTATTCTAAACTACAGGGGAGGAGGAGCATAAAGAGGCTTGTGTTAGGGGCTAATAGGAACGGGATCATCTGCCAGTGTGTTTTTTACGTACAGCCACTTGAACTTTTGACTCAGTTCCAATCATCACTTTCCTTGCCAAACAATCTGGAGTCCTTTTCAATGGGGCCCAAAAGTGAGACAATTATGGAACAATCTCTAGTCTTCGATACAAAGTCCTTTTAGCCTAAAACCTCTTATCTTTAGCAAAATTCCTCCATTGGTTGCTGCGCCATAGTTACTCTAAAAAGCTAGCAGGCAAGCGATCCTATTGCCGCCTATGCATACATCAGGATGGTAATAGCTTCTATATACTCTGATGTGGTGGCCTCTTGACTGGTAATTGCAAATGAATTAGGACACATGAAAAGGAACAAGTCCTTTATTTTAACTGCTCCATTCTTCTCCTTGCCATTTCACATGGCAACGCTTAAGAAGTCTCCCGTAAAATAACTGTTATTTATTGTTATGGGACCTTGTGCAGTACCACATGAAATTAAAGGGACTGCATGTTCATCTCAGTATATACAGGCGGTAATGCGATCAAAAGGGTGTATCATACCATCTCAAATATGGAGTGATCGCTTGCTCTAAGCGTAAAAGGATCGGCGTTCCTTTAGACTTCGATAGCAAGCGCCTACTTTTGGCTGCGATATTTCTTATATGAGCTCTACGAAAGTGGCTACAGCTTACAAGGACAATAAAGTTGAGAAAATGGGGATGCCTTAACGTTCACAATATCGAACTTTTAAATATTTTGACAATGTTGCGTAAACGTGTCCAAAACTACAACGCTTGCGTATAATATTGGAGAAAGGATAGAAGCACACGTCTTAGAACTATCACCATTACGCAGAAAAAAAAAAAACACAAAAGCTGAATTAAATCCACTCTGAAGGGCTGCTGGGTGTTAAGAAGGCTGGATGCTAGGGGATTCAATCATTCTGGATGGATTGCATGCTCATTCCTGGAAAAGGGTAAGTTCCCAACCAAACTAAGTGGGAGGGTACACCAATATCATTTGCTGCTTGCTTGTCCGTGGGCAAAAATCATCGCAAACAATAAGCAAGCAAAATCCATAAACGAATAATCTCTCGTGTCTACAAGCAACAGCTTTTGAGAAAAATTAAACTTCTTTATTGATCATAATCGCTAAGCTATGACACGGTGATTAGAAATTCTATGATTTGGTGCAGAGGGAGAATTTCCGCCCAGGAAATTTTTTCCAAAACACCTTGTGCTGAGTGACGGCCCAGAATTGTCCAACCTTTTCGGGATCAGCACTAGAAGTCCTTGCTCCAAATAAATTGTAACGCAGATATTGGCTGGAGCCGGAACTCCCAGTTTCAACCGAGCTTGCAGGGACTGGAATCCTGGGATCAAGCAATTCCCAGAGAGTGAAGAAAAAGGTTTGGTGTTGCAGATTCCAGAAAACATAAGGGTCACGTTGGCATTGCTCCATGAAGGGAAGAGCTAGTGTCTGGGGGATGCAATGAAGATGTAAGATGTGATTTCTGCAGATGTGGTTCATCGACAAGGTTGAGAAGTACCAGCGTTGATCTGCAAAATTCAAACACAGAACTTTCACTGGACAAGACAACTGAAGGACACCCACCATACTTGCCAAGACATAAAATGAGATCAACCAGCTTTAAACAAGACCATGAAAAGTAAACCTTCATATCAACCAGACAGGAGTGCACTATTTAGACGAAGGTTGACATTATTTTGGCTAAGAGGAATGAAACTTAAAATTTCTGATAGTTGAATTAATATGATAATGCTATGCTCGGAGACAATATTGCATACCACAACCATATGATTACAAATTTGGAGTAGTTTCAGTGCACAGAACTTTTGAGTATTGGTTTCTCCAGGTTGATTTCAGTAGATTTTTAACACAACTCAGGAGTATCACGATACTCAGATTAGTAATAGTACACTGATAATGGTTAATAGTGTCAAACATACACCTTCCATTCACCTTTGCCTTTTTACTACCGTATATACTTCCAGAAAAACTTTGAACCGTCAGTAGAATGATGGTGCAACCAGAAAATATTGAAGATATTCCTAATAGAATTTCAGAGAGTACTTTGAAACATAACCAAGCATGATCATTTCCAAGAACACCCGTTACCTAGTTAATGAATTTCTCACACTAGGTTGGCTTGCATAGGTAGCTAGTGGTCCTCGAAGGTGAGTATATTTGTTAAGAGCACTTTCAAGCTGGGGTGATGGCAACTGCAAACAGAACATGGGAAACAAAAAAAGAACGTTGAAGATTATGGCATGCAGAATTCAAAACCCGAATTATACAATCATACATTAGGTAAATTATATAAACGCTACCTGCAGTAACACACGGAAGGAATGAGGCTGGGTTTGTGATACACATTTCAAAAACCCTACCCACAGCTTTGGCATTCTCCATACCTGCAGCCAATGCACAAACTCTAGGCCATAAATTGGCGGGCTGAAAATTCCAATTACAAGCAAACTTATTCTCAGCCTCACCTTGAATAAACATCCAGGCTATGACAATTTTTAAGAAGAATAAGAAAAGGAACAGCAGAACATACCTGTCTACTCACAAGTTTGGACAGTAACTCCATGACAAAATCCACCTGTACATCAAGTTAAACCATGCTGTTGTTTATTGCCGACTACATTAATCAAAAAGCTGAATTATGCACAAATAAGAAATCACAATACCATCGCAAACAAATAATAGTTATATCCTGTTCACAAATAGCAACCTAGTTATCTACTTAGCTTGGAATATTTTCAAAATTCCTGCTTCAGTTCTTTATTCCATTCACAGAACATGCACAAGAACCTCTTATCCTTTTAAAAAGCAAAAGGTAAAGAGCATATCCATATTTTCAAAGCACGGAAGTGAAACACCATACAAGTCTTCTAGTCTCAAACAATTACGTTGAGAATTGGAACATCAATTATGAATAAGTACATGGACAAAGAAAGAGAATAAATACATGGAATAAGAGGACGACTCAAAGGCTTTAGCAATACCGCTTTTTTGGACTTATTTTTAGCTCTTGTTAACTTTAACAATAAAATTGTTCTTCAAGTCTCAAACACTTATGTGTGAGAATTGGAACATCAATTATTAATAAGTACATGGACACAGAAAGGAAAATGCATACATGGAATAAGAGGACTCCTCAAAGGCTTTAGCAATACCACTTTTTTGGGACTTATTTTTAGCTCTTGTTAACTTTAACAACAAAGTTGTCATAGCATACACCTCAGTAATGAAAACTTGTTAGCAAGAAGTAAAGTAATTAAGTGCTGGCACATAAAATAGCTTATTTGCGGACACACATAAAAGACATTGGGATACTATATCTTAAAAACTTGCATAAAGGGCATTAATGGGCACCACTTCAACTTGGGACCACCATGTTAGTGATAAAATAATTTCTTTTGATAATTCATCTCATTCTATTTGGCATCACTCCATTCCACAAGTAGTACTGCATGGTCCTTGACAAATTTTTCCATTGTAGTTTATGGTGAGTTAGGATTTTTTTTTTAATTTATAATTACTGAATAAAACCAAGTTTTAATTGCTGTACTAAATTACGAACTTGATGGAAAGGACATGGCTGGATGTCTAATTTGGAAAGTGTAACAATTTAAGCTTACTTATTTTAAATGGGGTTTGCACTGACTTTAGGTGCAAAACAGTACAAATCCCCTTTTAGAATGAACAGCCAAAAATCATTGCCTCTTCATGAATAAACATACAAGTGTGCGCCTTCCACAAATTTTCCATATTGATTATTCAATTCTAGTCCTCATCGTATTGGAATCATTTGTTAGCTGACCTGCATCCAGCGACAACCTAAGAAAGTTGATCTCGAGAAACATCATTTTTTTGCTCAGTTATGAGGTAGTACAACATATTCTCTGAAAGGTAGTAGGATGTCAAGGAATGCAGCTGAACAGGGAAAAACATTTTTACCAGAGCAGGGAAAGCATCAGTAGTTTGAATCACAGTCCTCATGAATAGAAGTGGTAGAGGAGTTTGATCCACCTAAAAAATAAATATGCATAAGCTAACCATTCTCCAATTTACAAGCTGTAACATGCACATCCTTTAAACTTTTATACCATCTGATTTAAGGCCTTTGCCATGACCTGCTGGGTGAAAACCGTTCGCTGCTCAAAGCACACTGAGCAAGCATCTGTAATCTGAAAGGCAAAAAAGGTTAAATTGCTTCTGATGTGAATTATGTAGATTGATGAGCATCGGATGGAAATCATAAGAACCAGGAAAAAACAAAAAGATTCATTTACTCCACTAAGCATATGCTCGCTGAAGATGGAATCTCTTGCTTCGGATTCTTAGGAATCCAAATAAACAATACACATTTTCCTGACACTGTTGTGGATAACCATGAAACCTAACCAAATTATTTTGAATTGCCATTGCTAAATACCAACCTTTTTAAGTGGAAGATGATCTCTTTCAGGATTAATGTCGTGTATTGCCACCATCACTTCTGCCGGTGTCAAAGCGGGACCTGTATGAGCAGAACCCTGCCAAGAAACATTTTGAATCTGAAAACTTCCGACACCAAACTGGAGAAACTTAGAATAGAATTCAACCAAATATTGATGCTAAAGTTACTTCCAGAAATGAATAATTCTGGACAGTTAATTAAAAGTCCGACTAATGCTAAAATTTATCTATTGCTTGCCAGCTCAGAATAAATTCAACCAACCGTACATGAATACAGTGACTCAAGAGACATCAATCAGCACAATCCAGGTTTGACAGCACAAGTACTAATATTTCATCTCAGTAAAAATTATTTAATTCCCACTAATAAGCTATGACCATATATTTGCAGACATAGTATTTACATTCTGCATTTTCATCTGAATACCTCTTAAATCAGGATAGACAACATGACATAGACAGGCAAATATAATATCTTCTAAAGACATTGATGAAATAAGGATATGTTCACTATCAAAAGCTACTCGCAGTAATCTCACAAGCAAAATCCACTTGTTTGATTGGATTAAACTTAGACAAATTTGAACAGTTGGGGTTTGAGGAGAATCGTGAATATATGCCTGTACATGTGCAAAAAATAATTGAATTGAGAAAATACAATTAAGCTGTAGTTTATTATGACTATGCAACACTCAAACATAAGTAGACAAACATGCACAAGAGCTATACAATGAGGAAACAATTGAAAGTAATCCTGATAAACTTAATGTTGGATAAAAATGGCCTAATGTGAGATATATCTATTGCATTTACAGCACATTTTTCATTTGGTTTAATGATTTCATAGGTTATCAAGTATAAGAATATCTGTTATTCAGTCAGTAATCCTCAAGAAGGTTCTAAATCAGTTCTTTGTTAAAAATCTCAGACAAGAAATTTCGGGACATGTTCGATGATCATTTTCACTGGATGCTGTGTGTCCTCTAAATGTCGAAACTAAAGATAAATTGTACAGATGACGTCCATCCCTGAGATGTTATCATGTAAAAGCATGGTGGAAAGGATAATTACAGCGGATAGTGATGTTGCCACGGTATTCCTCAAGCTGATCAACAGTATGTGCTATGTGTGTATGTTGTGTAAGCAATATACTCCCTTGACAAGAAACAAAACTAACTTTTTTTCTTTTTAATTTTTTGTAAGTGGCAGGTCTTGAACCCAGGACCTCCTACTTTCAATCTCTCCCAACTTACCACCCAACCCAATCCTCCCCTACAGAAACAAATCTAACTTAACATGCAGTGGAAATATCTTCATTAAACCAACCACTTAACTACTTCCACATAGAAAAAAGCAACAGTTCATAAAGAAACATTGAGAATTTCACCTGCCTATTCCATTTTGAATGGTTGAATATTGTTTAGGACATTCCAAAAGAAATAGAGAACAAGAAAATTGGAGGAAAGGGACATCACCGGTGCCATAAGCATGACCATGTATAGACACACATCTTAAATGATAAGAAGATGCAAACAGAAAGAGCTGTAACAGTAAGAATGAATTCATACCTGTAGTATGTGGGCAAGTGCTGTCTGAAACTTATCTGATGGGAGGTTAACCAGCTGAGGAAAAATAGGTAAAACCTGATACATACGAAACAATCCATTATCCTTTGTAAGGTTAAAAAAGATAGTCAGCTTCAAGATTACCCATATTCAAATTATATCCACACCATATATTTAAAGGTTGCTTCAATATAGCAATAAAATAACCTAGAGCTGGATATACAAAGTGCTCCAAAAACTTAACTACAAGAACAACCACAAGTCCATGACACTAACTAGAAACAACAGTTAGCTAAAAAATAAGATGAAAAAGCAAAATTGAAGCAAGCCAGCAAGTGACCCTAATATACACAACCAACGTGAAAAAGGTGCATTTATAGTGCTAAAAATAATAGTATGCATGCCATATCAGGCCTTAAAAGAATGCCAAACATCTACTCTTGGACCTACAATTCCATATTGCTAGAGGTTAGTCTTTGATTATCAGAGCTAGAAGGCAAATAAGTCTTACCTAGATCACTGAGATCAAAAGACCACTGACACACATTATTTGCAGTAGTTTAACTAGAAAGAAAATATATAAGGAACCACCGCCTACCTCCTTTCTGGAAAATGACGATAGTATTGGAATGAGAATAGTAGCATCCTGCAACAGAAATGAAACATAAGAATGGACAACCAAGAAATATTGTAAGTGAACGTATGAATGAGAGAGAGAGAGAGAGAGAGAGAGAGAGAGAGAGAGGTCTTGGTGCTAATGGCATTGGAATGTGGAAATGCTTTAGTTGAAAACCTTCAGCTTTGTTTCATATAAAAGTTTGACAACGGCAATAACATCAGCTGGAGGTGTTGTCCCTTCGGATAGAACACTGATCACCTAGTAGTGAAGAAACCATGTCACCGTTATTTAAGGAAAAGAATTAAGAGGAAGACAACTTCCAGCTGTTCAAGTAATCAAGAACAAAGAGACTACCTGAGTTAAAAGATTTTCACTTCCTGTGGGTGGATCAGATATTTTTTCAAGCAGCTGAGAATAGGAGGACCCAAAAGCCCTTATAAGAACAGGAATATGGCGATGTACAGCCTACACTAACAAAAAGAAATTTAGTGAAGACAAGATATTTCCAAAAGAAAATTGCAGAAGTAATTACAAAGGAGCCAAATTAGAAGCATAAAGTCATATAAATTGTTATGGTTGTGTCCAAGTGTCAGAAATAGCCAAGTCCTCCACTATAGGAGAGTGGACATATTTAAAATTATGTTTTGTAGTAAATGTTGCAGTTAAAAGGACACAGGCAAAAGAACTAAACTCTTATAACATGGGACATTTTTTTTTTCCAAAAAAATAATCTTTTTAAGATGTCAAGTAAAGGGCAACAAGGTGGAGAAAAATTCAAACAATTGAGGAATTAGTTTATATATCATAAATGGCCAAGAGCAAGCATATAAACATGTCTAAACCTATAATAAGGCAAAAGTCTTTTTGTCCTTGCAACCATCAGAAATACAAGAACCATCCAGCGATAACAATAATATCCATATATAATTCCATTTCTGAAATTTTTCATCCTTCAAGTTTTTACTCCTTTATCTCAGTTACTTCTCCTCAGTCATGTCCTTTTATTTTCATGAGTTCTCAGTCAGTTGAACGTAAAAAGATGACTATGCCAACAAAGGCAGTAGGAAAATCAAAAAATGTAGATGACTGGGTTAATCAAGCAAACTCATTAACAATATAACTATATGCACAATCAACCATGTGAAACTTCATATAGGGACAAGAGGTACCCACTATTCTACAACAGTGACTGGACATCTGAAGTCAATGAATATTCTTTTAACCAGAAAGGGATAGAAGATTGAATAGTTAAAGCCACAATGAGATTAAACCCTTGTGGAGAAAGCACAGATTGATGCCAATCAATATGAAAAACTAGGCCGGAGTTCAGTCAATGGAAAGATCGATGTGTGGGGCCACCATACAAATTTGTTGACCATATTACCCAGTGAATGATGGGCCTTGATAAACTAACTCCTAACAGCTGTAATTTAATGTACATTAAGTACAAACTGATTACCACTTTTGAGTAACCAGTTTGAAGCGATGACCTTGTTCTATCTTTGTCAATTGGATGCCTAAAAGGTCACAGAATTTTGACTTAATTCCTGTCAATAACAACATGAAGACAACAAATATAAAATTCTGGGAAATGGTGTTAAATAACAAATGCAGGTTCTGATGGTTCATCACTGGCTTGAAGAAGGGTCATCAGATGGCAACAAGTGCTGATCATGTGAGACAACTCCAGAGCAATGAAGTTCTAGGTAATGAGCGATGACAAATCATCCCACATGCAAAGGCAGAATATTTGATTGAATGAACAAGTAAGAAAACAAAGTCAAGAGTAGAAAAAGACCTGCTTAATCGCCTTGGGAGAACGTGCATAATTATCAAATACAATTCGTAGGAGACTAGGTTTCTGTAAACAAAAAAGGAGAAAAGAGAAAGAAGACAGAGAACAAACAAGGAGTGAGGAAGACATATATCACTGGAACTCCTGATGTAGGGGGAACAAAAATAGCTTTTCAAGCTCCACCATGTAAAAAACTAAAGAACAATAAACAGTTGTCTCGACCTTTGGGCATAAGGCAAAAAGCAGAGACACATGCTGCTGAGCATGAGCCAATGTCACTGCAGATTCAGTTTGAGTATCAATTTCTGCACCCTTCATGGAGACGATTTCAGATACCCCTGGCTCTGAAACTTGAGAACCACTAATAGATGTTTCTTGGCTTCCCACCTAAGATTGAAAACAGAAAGAGGGGGAAGAAAAAAAAAAGGAAAGAAGGTGTTAGGAGACAGAAACATGTGACGATGAAAAATGGCAATGTCAAAGGTAATTTTGAATAATGGTTGTAACAACTATCAAATATTCAAAAGCTGTCTCATAAGGACACAGAGTTGGGAGTCATGAAAAGAAAATATTTTCAGAAAACCGCTACATTTAGAAGTGGAAAAACAATGGAGCCCAGTCCCAAATACGTTATGATCAGCTAACCATTTTCTGACACTTATTACACAAGCAACCAACTTCAACTAATTCACTGTCTTAAACTATGCAAGGCAAATAGGCACACAGATTTTAACACCATGTGTCTAGATGATTCAATATGATGAAATGTAAGACCCTCTTGCATTTCAATGCAGCACTAAAAAACAAAGGTATGAATTGGGGCAATCATTTAGACAGGATTTTAAGTGTTGAAGACCATGGCAAAACAAAGTAAATAATCATTATAAGCAATACAATCAATCGGTAAATAGTCATCTAAAGAGGTTTCCATAGGACATCTCCAACCACAAAATAAGCTATACAAAAATGTTTGTTGTATAATTTCCTAGTTTGTTGTATACATCACTGCAAGAGATGACATACTGGAACAACAAAGCCAACTACCACCTACTCTATTGACGGACCAAAATATTTCTTGAAGGAGAGTTTTTGCTTCCTTACTCCTTTTTAATCTTCTATGCTTACAGCATCACTCGTCAATTATTGCAGAAAAATCTCTTGTTTAAATACTTCACAATCTCAAGTTATATACAGAACTACCATGCAAATGCTTGCATTGTTTAAAGAATTTTTTTTAATTTCATTCTAGTTAGAAAATGAATGATATGAAAACTATAAGAAGCCAAACTTCAAACCTCTGGTTCTGCCCTCTGTTCACTCCCTCCACACTGAGAAAGGCCTACATCTGAAGCACGTTGATCAATGGCGGACAAGAACATTCTCGTTGCAAACTGCTCAATGCTCTCTGAAATGTAACCAAGCACATAGAGTTTTTTTGCCACCTGCCAGTCACAAACGAGTTCAGAAAGCGCAGATGAAGTAAAAAAGGGCAAGTCCTCACTGGCCTAATTAATATTTACATGTACTAAATATTTTTTAAGTTGAAATGCCAACAACATCTACCCAACAGAAATGGAAAGTTGAAATAAAAATGCAATAAACTACTACATCCAACAATGATGCCAAGTCACAAATATTTGCAAGTTGCAAGTATGCATACCAGACGGATAGCTTTTGCTCGAATGTGGTCCTGGGGATGGACGGCACACTGCAAAGTGCAAATGCGTCAGTCACAAACAAATATATAAAACAAAAACATAGATGCCAATATGCTACTCTGCATGCCCGTTTGCGTGTTTTTCATGGCACATGAATTTTCCAGATCATTAAATTAACCAGTATATATTGTACATATGACCACATAACAAATTCTAACATTGTGATCTCATAAAACCCTGCCTATCTTCCATTGTAACCATTAAAATACTCCTGGTCCTATGCAGACTTGGAAGAAGAACAATCTGCCGCAAGTTTTTGATTTGTTATGAAAAAGTCACAGTAAACCTCTTTCCTTCTCCCATTTTAGCAAGATTCTGATTTCAGGAGCCCCAAAAAACCTCTTCAAGTTCAAGAAATAGTCTGAACCCAAAGCTTTTAGAATTTAGGAATCAGCTGAAAAGTACTCTCATAATTCGATTCCCACCCCCAAAGCCTGCAACAATGACCGTAGTCATTGTCAACTTCTATATCCAAATATTCTTACATAATTCGTTGCAAACATGCGACCAAGAAAGTTTTAGCCACTTCTCACTTGGTTTATTAGCATTTTGGAGAAACCCCACCCATCCACCCTAGCCATGCACAGATCTGAGCAACAGATGAGCACAAATAAGTTGTGTAATTCTAAGTAAAAACATAGAACTTCAATGTGCAGGCGTTTACTATCTTCATAAGTGAGAAAGAGAACATTCCCACAAAAAAAAAAGAGACAACTGAACTAAAGAAGATTCCCAGCACTTGAGCATGCACAAATCAGGAATATTAAAAGCACAATTTGGCTGGAAATTTCCCATGGTATAAGCACCTTTAAAGCAATATCCAAGCAGGCCTGACGATTAAGTGGCCGCCCCAAAATCAAGCTCCAGACAGCACCCAGACCTTGAGAAACACGGTCATCAGAAGCATCTTTTGCCAAATATCTTTCACAGCACAAGTCATCCAGAAGTTTCATCACAGAATCCGTTAAAAGAGGAACATCACCAAGAAGACGACTGAATGACTTGTCAGTGGCTGGTAAACTCTCCAGCAAGGATTTTGCCTACAAAAGACAAGCTACTTAAGTGATTTCAAATGACAGGAATAGGGCTGCTTAAAGATAGCCGTACCACTCCAGTCAGGAAATTCTCATAGGCAGTAGCAGCAAGTGGCAAGGTTTCTTCTGAATCTGATAACATAAATGAATGTAGGTGGAAAAGCACATGCAGGACGAGTTCATGCCCCTGAGGTTTAAAAAAAAGGTATCAATTGAATAAGTATATATTAGAACCATCTAAACGGAAGTTGACAAGGTAAATTTCTCTAAAACACGGACAGGTATTCATTTAGCCAGTAACCATGAAGTTGCTATCGGCTATGAATATAAAAAATACCTTCGCCTAGAAATATTAAATACAGCTGGCAAGCTAAAAGAATAACTGAAACCTGCCAGACATTTCATAAGCATCCCTTCAAAAATTAATGTTTGAAATATCTGCATGGCATGAAAGAAGCTTTACCAAAACTAATAGAGTACTTTGAAGCGTTCCTTTTCAAAATTATTTGTTTATTTTGGAGAAAGCAAAACCGTGATAGACAAGATATGTAGCTCATGACTGAGTAGTCCATCAGACAAAAGAATTTTGCAAGCAGTCTATGACTGACTACTATAGGATCCTATCCTTCAATTACAGGGCAAAGAAAGTTTTAATCAAAACCAACAGATCTATGCAACAACCTTTATATATTAAGCTGACAGCCGAAAAAAGAAAAGGGGAAGATTTAAAGTTTTTAACCACAACATGAAAGAAATGTAACACCAACGACTCCAGAAACTAATAAAGTTTATCCTCTTGCAGAGAAGACTAAGGTCTGAGATTGCAAGCATGTATTGTTTTCTCGTTTAATTTGTTGTCCTTTGTCCTTTTTCCTTCTCTTCTGTTCCTATGCTACAATTGAAAATGTACCATAAGCCTGACCATATTAGGCAGCAACCTACACTCAAGAGTTTCGTCAATAATATATTGGTATAACCATGATTTCTTCCTTTGTAGCTTGTGGGAGAGATTTAGATTAGATAGAAACCATGAGGCGAAATTGACAAAATGAAGATGGGCCAGAGAGAGAGGGAGGGATGGGACAGAACAAACTCTGAATGCAGACAACATGAATTTCTTAAAAACAGATAATTCAAAACTGAGTATAAAATTGACCATGTATTATTTTGCTAATGAAATAAGAACTGGTTTCACAATGTGCACGTCCAAACAAAAATTCACGGCAAAAGCAAACAAGAAATACACCAAGCACATAAGCACAGATCTTCCAGTGAAAACATATGGAATCATTGTGCTGGCTGCCAAGAATCAAAATGATAATTTTTGTTGAGCAAAAATCAGATAACAATCTAAACAGAATAAATCATTTTCTCAAAGGCTCAAAAGGAACAAATTACTTCAATAACCTGATTAGGACCAGTTTCTAACCACCCCACCTAATAGCTTAAAATGTTAGAAAACTCAGTCAATTTCATTATTTGTAAATCCCTTACAGGCCATCCACATTAAGTGCTGGAATCTTTCAATAGGCCAAGCACATGAATTACCAACAGAACACTATAACAATTGCACCCAACATTTTCCCCTGCTGTAATACTGCTTAGATTACCATCTCATCTAGATGCCTAAACGTCCGATACAATAAATACATTAAATGGATGCAAAGAGCAATAATCATGTATTTCTTCATGCATAAGTTAAGAAGTGGGTAAGGACCAAGTAATTCTCAAAATGGATCAATCACCAGATGCCAAAACACAAATTTTCTCAGAGGTTTCTGAATATGAACTAGCTACCCATACACGTAAGCAGAAGTTGGAGGTCAAGAGGGCCCCAAAGGTGATGCATATTGTAACTAAAATGATATTGGAAACAGAAAGAACCTTTTGGCGATGGTAGTCCAAAGCAAGTTGTTTTAGCATTGCCACGATACCATCATCAGCAGCAGCATCAATCTGGAGCAAACATCATGCCTCGAAGTCAAAAAGGTATTTAAGATAACATCATCAGCATCACACATTATTTAAGAAGACATCACATTATGAAAATGAAAGAAAAAGATGGGTATTAATGACCTTCATTCAAATATTGTCAAAAGCTACAATTGAAAATTACAACAGACCGAACACACGCTCTAACACGCCAATCAATGTAAAAAAGGTAAAGAACTTCAGGTATCAGCTTTCAACTCCACTTCATCTTTTATTCCAGGCTAAAACAAAGATCTATATATAACTCAGCTGAAAGACTAGCCCATGTACAAATCCCAAACCCTCCCCCTCCCCCCCCCCCCCAAACAAAACAACCACTCCTCCAATTATTATTATTATTTTTTCACAAAGACAGAAAATCGACCAAGAATGACAATTCAGGATGCTAAAATGAGGCTTAATATGCCAGACTTAGGTTCCGCTTCCACACCTACAACTCTAAATGAAATGATGGTCATTAATTGGTTGGCCTTTCAAAGAAACAGTGTATTATCATGGTCATTCTTCTACAATTATGGGAAAGATATTGGCCTTCCTTTCCACTAAGTGACTCTTTACATTAAAGTATGATAAACTTCTATTAGGGTGTGTCTACAAAGGTAAAATGGGCAAGTATCTTAAGCATCAGACATAATATGCAAAATGCATTTTGCACCCTGTCCTTTTCAGTAAAACCACAACACATAATTACAAGCACATAACCTACAAATCCAGGAGAAAATTTCAAATAACTTGGACAGGAAATGGGCAACATGCAGTGTGCCACACCTATACAGAGGTCCACATTCCTGCAATGCAGGAGAAACACTCAGTGATGTGCAGCTGAGTATCATAAGTTGTAAATATGAAAAGCGAGGCAATATACATGTATACTAACCAATGAAATTAGCAGTACACAGAAGAAAAATTGGCCCACCTGTGCCACCAATCGTGCAAGCAATGCCATGCGCATTTGTTTGTCACCTGGGCCTCGCAAATTCTTGTAAGAGCCAAAAATCCGTTCAATTGCCAATGTTGTGGCATTGCTCTGCTGTTTCTCAGTCAAGTTGATATAGGATGGAAGCACGGGCAACTCTACACTTGCATCCTCAGAGGCTTCCATGTCAGAAATAGCAGGAGAAAGTTCATCTGCTTCCAGTGACGGTGGGGAGTAAACTTCATCCACCATTGTAAATTCTGATGATGACTGTCCCACCAACTCTTGCTCATCAATGAGTGGGACTGATGGAACCTCCAAAGCACCTTTTTCCTCTCCATCAGGAACAACTTCCCTTGATCCATCCTTCTCAGCTTCCTCTTCAGTAACCAGATCAACATAATATGTCGGCAAAGTTTCTAGTGAACTCAAACCAGCATCAGATTTAGGCATCATGGGAACCAATATACTTTCAGAGCTCAGGTTTCCTGGTGGTGAAAGAGGCTTGATAAAAGGACTAGAAGAATCCACATGAAGTTGTAATCCACCAGTTTGTGTAGCATTTGAATTATCCTCTGAAGCAGAAGCCACAGGCACACTAACAGATGCCATCATACGCCTTGGGTCAAGACGACGAGGATCCTGGAGAACTTACCAATTGTTAAATTAGCATTGTCTTGAGTTATTAATATATTCAACATGAATAACAGCAGAAGGAAAACTCCAGGGCAATGTTAAAACCATGATTAGGAGGATAACAACAATGATATTAAGCTTACTCTTCGTGGATCGCGCTTTGAATCAGAAGGGAGACTATTGGAAGTAGACATATCAAAGGATGAAGAGCTAATTGCATTTGATGAAGATACAGGCACTTGAGCTGCAACTTCTGGAGCTTCCACGAGAACGGTGGAGCCCACTGGTGCCACACTCTGAGATGGACTGCTTGAATCACCTTGTCGAGCTGAAGTAGATGGTCTAGTTAAAGGAGGAGGATTTTTAGGCAAGTGTCTCATATTAGTTATGACTATATCAGCCAACAAATCTGGATGGATATTAGATATTAGAATTTCAAGAGATTCAACACCCCTTTCTCCTTCTGCAATTAGAGCACCAATCATTGCAATCATTTGCTCAACAGGGGTCAAATTGCTGTCCAATAAGGGAACCTTTGGGGACACCCCATTTACAAAATCTTGCCCTGAATCATTTTTGTCAACAGATGGAGCTACGTGGTTATTAGAGCCATAACGACCTCTTTTTAGAGCTACATCATTGTTATCATCTGGATCTTCATTATCTAAACATAAGGACCTCTTCCTCCCATGATCCACTGAAGCAGGCGAGTGATCTGACAGTTGCTCATCCTGGTAGAAATTAAAATTCAGAAATTAAATGGCAAATAGAATCAACGGTTGAGATTCTTAAAATGCCTACATCTTCTTCTTTGAAGTATATTACCTTGCTCAGCCTAGAGTCGCGTGAAGCACGTCCATTAATTCTCATCATCTTTTCAACTTGTCGGAGAGCCTGATCAGCTGCATCCGCAGCATTCATTGCTCTCAAAGCCTTCAGCAATATCTCTCTTGACTGGAAACAAGGGAAAACAAAACTTAGCCTATGATTCGGAAGTGAGCAATGACAAGAACTTGCGGGAAAGATTAAGTAGAGCCAGCAAGGGATTCATTAGGACTTTAGGAGGCATAAGTAACTGAAGTGAGGATTATCAGACCCAGCAAAATATTAGGCTTGAAACTATGATTACGCCTCTTCTTTTGGCTTTTAGCTCTTCTTTAATTTTAAAAGGAATCTGCTGAGTGTGAGAATTTCCTCATCAACTTATCTTGAGGAATATTTATAAAGATATCAACACTACAACTAACATCATGCATCTCTAAGTTCATTGTCATTTTATACTTTTTGGGAAATTTTTTGCGTATCAATAATTGAATGATCTGATTTTCATACGAGAATACCAAAGAGAGAATACGAGCATGCACGGTATGCTTCATATTGAAAATTTGAACCAAATATCAGGAAGATATCAAGCATATGGACCATATTGCAAGTAAACCCATGATCAAAGACACCTGCATATCACAGCTCAAACCAAGTACACAGTAACTCTGGGAAGATCAAGTTAAACTTGTTGAACCTAAACCATTGGCTGGAAAAACTTTTGATCCCAAAACTGCTAGAAGTTGTTTAGCCTGGTATTCATACACCATTTAGATGATATCAAGAGAGACAAAGACAGGGTAATAACATGACCTTAACAAGCTGAGACCAAAACCATCACTAAAATTTAAAACTTTGATATTTTAGCAGATTTAAGCAAAATAAGAAGAATAAACAACTTCAAACAACTGTGATAAATGCAAGAGGCAAGCGGGGTATATTCAAACAAAAAAAGAATGCAAACATAATATGCAAAGGAATTTTTAGTAGCATGAGCTTTGCAAATCATAAAACAACTGTGATAAATGATTAAGCAGAGATTGATACTTCTAGCTACTAACTCTGCTGTGCTTTCTTTATTATTTGGGTAAAATACCAAAAAATTCCCTGTAGTTTGCCAAATATTCAATTTAACTCCCTCTAGTTTGGAAACCTACACTATAACTCCTTGTGGTTTCAACTAAATTCAAAATTGGATGGAAAGCATCCAATCCAACAGTTGTACGTGAAATATCAATATTACCCTAGTATAAATGAACTCCCTTGATTTGCTGAATGTTCAATTTAACTCCTCTAGTTTGAAAAACTATACTATAACTCCCTGTGGTATCGATTAAATTGAAAATTGAACGGAAGGCATTTCATGTATAGCAAGGGCAATATTGACATTTCACATACAACCGTTAGGCTTTCCGTTCAATTTTTAATTTAGTTGAAACCACAAGGAGTTATTATGTAGGTTTCCAAATCAAAAGGAGTAAAATTGAACATTTAGTAAACCACAAGGAGTCTTTTGGTATTTTACCCTTATTATTTTGATGTCTAACCATCTCAGGTAAACATGCTCGTAATCACTATAAAATGAAAATTTTATGCTTCATTGTTCTTCAAAAATTAATTAATAACAAAATGTCGTCAAACAAAAAGGTGATTTAAAAACTCAAATAGTCAAATGATTGTGTCAAAGTAAATAATCTGAAATTCAATAAATCCAAGATAAATAAGGTAAAGAAGCAGACAATAGGGCCAAGAACGCCATTAGACTAGGCTAGGTACCTCCAACATGACCGGGTCGGAACATCTTAGAAAACCCAGAAAAGCAGTTCGTATCGAATACTGGATACTGGCAATATGGCCACCCTTTGTCATCTCAAATTTGGAATCAAAATCAAGCAGTGCTGAAAGTATGGGATTGTAGTTGGTAGGCCGTTTTCTTGCAATAACTGCAAGACTGCAAAAGAAGGAAGCAACAACATATTGAGACGAGGCATCAGGGAAAGAAAAGCTCAATACAACTATATTTAAGAGCTGAACTTGACACAAAAATACAGTCATTAAGTTAATTAATTGAGAAGAATTAGCATTCAAATCCCATAGAAAGAACATGACACCCTTCAACATGGCAGTGCAGCCGCACAAGCCATCCAGACATACCACAAATGACCAACAAACAAGAAGAATTTCTGGAGTATAAAGAGAGCTTAATCCTACCCAAACCCAAATACCAAATGTCTCTCATAATATGAAGATCATCTGGGCACAGAATTGCATCTAGTCCGTGTTTTAGCCATATATGCACCATTCTTTCACCATACACACGTATCATGATATAATGTGCAGTTGTGCAGTGGCCTTCGCCAGCAGATGGCTTGCCAAATAGTCCATCTTTTCAATAAATCTGCTCTAGTCCAACATGATTGGTTGCAAACTAAAGGATCAGAGGACATTGAGTTTCACTGGACTCAAATTTAAACCAGTTAACAGCAGAGAAGATGCAGGAACAAGTCTGTAGGTGTATCAGTAGAATAGCACAACATACACTGAAAAAAGGGGAAACAAAGGGACAAAAAGGTGCTGACAAATTTGGAGAACTTTACAAATTTAATGTAAACATGTTACTCTACAACTACAAGGCAAACTCACAGTGATTAAGAATACTCCATAAAATAATGAAAACTAGCCACAAATAAACAACGGTTTCAGAAATTAGAGGGAGGATGAGTTTGAAACTGTCTGGACGCTGACTAATTTAACTATCAGATAAGTTCCTGCAAAGCTTCAATTTGAAACAAGCATGAAACACTAAAAGTAAACTATCGATGCTATCACAAATTATGTCCTGTCTTCCCAGGCAAAGGCAAATAATCAAGTTAATTGCCTGTTAGAAAATCGAATTTCTGCCTATTGTCATCTCCGGTAAACCTGCCAAGGAGAATATAAAGCTTTTTTCAATACATTCAATAGTTTATAGGTAACAGTTTTCTGTGAGTTTTGAGCAGATCCCATCCTACACTTACAGCAGGGTTGACAACATATCAGATGTGTCAAGGTTGACACCAAATATGAAAAATTCACATCACTGTCATCACTTCAACATATACAGGATCAACTTTGTTAACGACCTTCTGGCCTTAACTGGATACCCTCTCCTACAATTTTCTAAAAGAACATTCAGGCAATGCTACATTCCACTGACACCATCAGAGCTCAAGCAACATCCAGATGAAGAACAAGACAGAAAGGCTAATGATTCGACCTCATGAGCGTGCTCCTAAAAGGACCATGCATTCTGTGCCATAATATTCAACCTCTTACAACTACTCATTCATTGTAAACAACCCCAACTCTGGCAGCAACTTAAGACCTAAATCCTTGTGACATACAACAACTGTTATATAAAACCATTAAGCACAAAAAACTGAAAATTAGAGTTCGAAAATTAAGTTACAGCCAGTCTACCATCTTAAAGACAAAGGCAATTAGTGGAACAATTGACAGTATAATTTTTTTCTATGGGCACCAGCAAACTAGATTAACAGCAGCAGGAGTTCTGAAGAGTTACGCTGGGCTGCGCTGGGACTTATTCCGTGAGAAAGTCAGTGATGCTACAAAGTTTCCAGTTTGATCTAACCTATATGTAGAAACTCAACCTGTTTTATCTTTCCATCACACAGTTGCCACATTCAAGTTTAACACACAAATGCAATCAATGTTTAACACACAAATATGATAAGACAGATTTGATAACGCATCCACCAAACAGAGGATGTGTTATCAAATCTGATCTTGCCTCCTCCATAACTTGAGAAACCTGTAACGTACTTTATATCCAATTGTTGCCTTGTTTTCAAGTGAAAAACCCGTTGATAACACTTCCTAAACCTAATCTTGCCTCCTCCATAATTATGTACCATGTTGAAACATCTCAATCACAGTATCAGAAGTTAACAGAAAGGAGATTGACTACTTGGACTATACAGGAAACTGACAGAGAAATGCATAACTGTAACACAAAAAGACCCTATAATTCGCTGCATGGGAAAGCAATTACATGTATCTCACTGCCTATGTAGCAAACACACATTGAGTTCTAAAGTGCCAAAAATCAGTTAAATGCTACAATAATTTTGATTAGTCACACATATTAGATAAACAATCTATCAAACAACAGAGCAAGTATTAATAATATGTGCAAAGAGTCAAAAGAAGAGACAAACAGATTTTATTCAACACTAAGACTGCATTCTACTAATGCCATTGATCATCCCTAAGCAAATGCTCGACCAGATGCACTAAATTCACTTCAAATTCCAACTTATGTATAACTACTTAACCTCATGTTAGGCAACTTCTCCAACAGTCATATGCACCCAGGCAACAAAACTAGTTATTCCCTCAAGATTAGCAACTGCTTTAACCAAGTGAAACATGGAAGAAACAGCAAATCCATGCATTACAAATGAAAATCGTTCTAGGAAAGTCCTAAAGTAGGAATAGAAAGAGTTTTTCAAGTGAATCTGAGAAGCATGAATCTAATGCGTCAGATTTCTGAATCACAAGAATATGACGGGCTAATAAGAAAAACATTAACTGTAGGCACTTCGACACATCTAAATTTCAGTGATAGGTCCTCAAATTTCCACCAAACTTCTTCAATGACCCCAACAAAAATTGTATCCTAAATATCCCTCACTTCAACCAACAAGCATTCATCCATGTTGGCTGCTCTCCAACTCTTCCTTTTGGATGTTCCTCTAAGCATGACTCACACTTCAGATGAAAGAAGCTTCCATACCAGCTAAACTTGTACTTCATCTATCAGGGTCAGAAAAATGCCTAAATCTAATGTTTTCTCAGCTGCTTCATGGGAAAATACCAGATGTCATTTAGTTAACATAACAATTATGCTTCTCATTTGTTCAGGTTATCCTCATGGATAATACTTCATCAGAATACTTCTTGTTACTGTGGCTTCTATATATTAATCTTCTCAAGCTGCTAAAATGATTCTGCATACCAAAAAAGCAACACCAACCACCAGAAACTGTTGGTGCTTCAAATGGTCCAATCTCTTTGTTGCCTATAAAACATATATCTGCAGAATTCTTACCAACAGGAAACATTTTCCTGCTTCAATCAACTATTACTTACAAATTGCACTTTTAGCGTCAATTGAATACATGTAATGATTTAATTGTCAATACTGGCTGATATCTAATTCCAACACTGTTGTGACTGAGTCAGCTGTAGTAAAGTAGTACAGTTTCATTCCTTTTTCGTTACAAAAGGCAAATAGGTACCATGCTCCTGAAGATTGGCACAACCGATACAGGTTACCTTCATTACAAGTAAAAGAGGAAATGAGTTACTCCCAAATCCTGGTTTTGAGAATGTTCAAGCGCGACTCAAGCAAAGACAGGGTTTCAGTTCATAGTTCACTGTATTAAAAGTGATATGTGTGTCTTCTTGATGCAAACAAAAAGCTTTGCTCTCGCTGAAAAGTAGTATCAGGTCGTTAGCAAATCACATTATAATGATCTACTTACAGATATAAGATTCACGAAGGAAATTATATAACCACTCTACAAGGAGGATGTTTCTCAGTGCGGGTTGCCAACATCTGTAGATTTCACCTACTTTTGTTATTAAAGCTATATCAGAATCGAGTTTGAAATCAAACAACAGGAAGTGGAAGATAAAGATCATGCTCATAGATCTAAGCCCATGAATAGTAGCATATATAACCAACATCCATTAAAAAATTTCATTATCATTGGTAATATGTGTGTCAAAGGTCATCAAAAAATAATACATTTACGAAAGCCCTCAGAGTATAACACTCAGCAGCCGCATGCATTTACAGCACAAGTTACTAAACACTGGTAACGGCCTCTCAAAACAATATACATAGCATTCGTTAATTGCTTGTCTGTAACTCCAAAAGTTATCAAAGCAAATGAGATGACCATTTTATCCATTGCTTAGTCCTATCATCCGCCAATGTTGTTGACATCAGCAAACTCATACTTCGGTTATCTGAACCACCAGTTCAGCAATCCCAAGCAACATGCCAATATCTCCGTGTTAAAAAGCTGGAGAGGTTGCTGCAATAGTAACAGAACATGTAGTTGAAAATTTAACTACAACCTGTTTCCAAGCTTCCTCCAAAATTTCAAAAAGTAAATTAATTATTATGTGCAATCAAGAATTTATTTAAAGCTTTACGTATGATGGACGATTATTACTTTCTGCAAAACAAAAGAGGACAAGTGTAACTCATGAGAAAGAAAAGTACTATTCTTCAAGTAATGTAGCAAACATAACTTTTAAGTCCCAAATGCAAAGGAATCCAGACAATTTCCAATTAGGGAGTATAGCCCTCTACCAACACTAAAAACTAAAAACCACAAACATCATCAATGGACAATAGCATTAGTAGCTGGCATCACGACAGGCATCCAAGACAGTTTAAATTTTCTCAAGATTAAGTGCAGAAAACACAAAACCTAATTGAATTATTCACAGGAAAACCAAGATTTCCCTCTGTATGTATAACATACAACAACAATAGAAGGTCAAACAACACACATAATCAAAGGGTAAGAAATACCAAATAAGTAAGAAATCGATCAAAACAAGAGGAAAAAAGAACTTAAATGACCACGCTCCATATATCATATCAGTTCTCATAAACCAAAAAAGCACGAAGTAGTTAAAAACTTAAGAAGTCAACCTTTAAAATTTGTCCAAACAACCAAATTGCAGAAAATACAGCTTACTGTAATCATGTTGTTTAACCACCATAACATTGCCAATTGACATATATTTCAACGAAGACAATCCTACACAGATTTCAGTGCTCAGTAACATCATTCGTTTAGAAAGCATAATACCTTTCTTTTTTTTTTTGGCCAATGAAATTCCAGCCATGGAATGGATATATTGATCAATCCTCTCAAACTACTCTATTAAGAAGCTATCTAGTTTTCATTGACACAAAAAACTAACTGCATGTTGAAATCTTTTTCTCTACACCACACACAGAATTTATATTAGTGTCCAGGTCATTCAAGAAATTACACTAGTTAATACATATTTTTTTAACCTTTTAGCCTTCCAACATATTGGATGCAAAACTGGAAATCTTATTTACGGTAATTTCATTCCATGACTTCAAATCATAAAACAAAAGAAGGCAAGATATCACAAATTTTCTCCTTGAATCGAATGAAAGCACAAAAAAAGACATTAAAGCTCACCTATTAACAACAGATATTGTTAATAAACCAGGGAGATTGCTAGCTGATTGCAACAAATCCAATAAAATCCCAAGAGATCTATTTGCATCTGATGTAAGCATAGCTGTATCCAGAACAGGGTGATGACCAGCCAGCCATGAGATATTAAACCCCTGTCCTTCTCTTCCGATACCTACATCGAGGACAGCATCAACATTGCACCAAAGTATCAAAATGAATTGCCTATAACACATTGAACAGTAACTCATAGACAAGTCACATGATAAATAATGACGGTGCAATCTGGAACTCCCAATACAAGCTAATATCTGCATCTTCAGACTATGAGATACAATACCTTCTCCTGCGGATCTTTCAGAGTCATTTCTATCAGGTGTGAAAAGTAAAATTTGTACTTCAAGGAACTTTATTGTCAGAATCTTTATGCCAAGAGGAGCAGCCTATAAAAACATATGCAAACTTTATGTCAGGTATGTGCACCATACTCAACATCTGGAAAATATCATCCGAAAATAAGACATCAAGCTTGTCTCATATTTCAGCTTAAACAATGTTGCAATTTTCTCCACATCAAAAAAAATGTTATCATATCAGAAGAATACAAACAATTTACATTTGTCATCCAGATTAAGCAAGAGTATCGAAAAGTACAGCATATGTCTTGATTAAAAAGTTGGAAAAAGAAAAACAAATAAACACCTAAGCACATAAAATTATACAATGCTCTTTGACGGAAAATTCACAAACGATACTCAGCACTATGCTACTTTCCTTTACATGCTAGCATTTTGTACCATCAATTAACTGCCTAAAGTCTCTCAGCAATCCTAGAAGTGCTTCTCTCTCATTTAATCTTCTTTTTTGAAAAAGCAAATCACAAAAGCATAAAAAAGTATACCTAAGAACAAAGATCATCTAAGAAATCAAAGAAAGACAACCAAGGTTCTAGACAGGTGGCTTCTTTCCTCCAGAAAAAGATGTGATGCAAAAAAAAAAAAAAAATTTTCTTCTCAATATCTATTCTGTGTTTGTAATAATCTATTTCTTTCATTCCATATTAACTGCACAAAAGCTGAAGACTCTTTTAATTCTGTATCATCCAACATTACTTCAAAAAAAGGATATAGATTGTATGACTCGTGCTTAGTCATATTCACAATTTTTCTAGCATTTTCTCTTCTTTTTAATGTTAGTATATCCCTCAATATGATTCCTTCAAGAAGATTTACAACAATCTCCCAAATTTCTAGCCTGCTTGTATAGAAATCTTTTTCTAATGCATATTATCCTTCAATTGAAACTACTGATATGTTTGTGTTTCTCCAACTTTAGAAAGTCAGACCAACCTTTAGTCATTGACAAATTTTCCAGCTTTTGCTTTCCCTCCAATGTTAGAATATCCCTCAATCAGATTCTTTGAGGAAAATAACAATAATCTCCAAAAATCTGAAGTCTGCTTTTACGGTATTCTTTTCTTATGCAATATTATCCTTCAATTGCAGCTACTACTACGTTTTACTTTTCTCCAACTTTAGACAATCATAGTCAGGTAGTTCAACATAGTGAATTTGATACAAGCTCCCAACTAATAACACTAATTTCTTAGTCTCTTCTTTTGTATGTCAAAAAAGTTTTTTACATCAACGCATTACCAAAAATTTTCTTCACAGAGTAAAATGCAATAAAAAAAAGGTAGAATTCAATGCAATTTGGCAGGCAAATGAAGGGGTCTAAGTCAACATAAACTTTGAAAGATACTGACGACCAACTGTAGGCAACAACATTGTGCGATTACACCTCCTAAGGTGGAGAAGCAGAAAAGCTGAAACTATTGCACTCTTGCCACAAATATGTGCAACCAGATCTTCAAACATGAGAATTCAAAGACAAAACCAAGGCTATGCAACCTTCTGATGACAGAAAGATTGGAAGAGAGAACAGTAAACATGGCAAAGGCTATGGCAATCATGCCTCCAACTCCTTGAATACAGATACTAAATCAGGAAGTCCATTCACAGAGTTGACCAAACTTTTCAGTGTAAACACCTTAAAGTTAATCAATTTCAAACCAAAAACTTAGGTTTTGGCAACTTGTCAGATTGCAAAAGTCACAAAAACTTTCTTTTATGACGTGAAACTGGTGGTAGTAACAATAAGTATGGTTTTAAGATATAAAAAGCATGAATTTAAGTCACAACTAATAGTTATGACATTTGTTGTGACTATGCACACGGTGACCCTCATTTACAAGTCACAAGGAATCAAATAGTCACAAAGATCAATTGTGACATGTGAACAAGGGTCACCGTCTACATAGTCGCAAGCTTAATTGTGACTTGTAAATGAATGTCATGCCATCTTTTTTGACTTAAAATCATACTTTTTATGACTTAAAACCATACTTATTGTTACCACCAGTTTCATGTCATAACAAAACTTTCATGACTTCCCAGGAATCTAACAAGTCACCAAAGGCTAAATCTTCTGCAGTGGATTCCAAACTAAAAACCCAAAACAAAAAGAAAAAAAATAAAAAAAATCCATAGCAGTCAATGCAATTAATACAAGTGAAACATTCAAGGACTGACAAAAAGACATCATACATGGACCATTACCCATACCTCAAAAAGTATGTCAAGAACAGCTTCCTTGAATTTAACCATTGATGTCCAAAGGTCTTCAAGCCACATCTCAACAGTGCCATGCCGGAGAAACTACACAGTTTTCAAGATACAGTTTATGAAAACCCTCATGTAGTAGACAAGATTCCAACTAGAAATGACATAACAGAAGACAGGAGATACTAGATGAATAGGCTTGAGCTTCCAATTTAGCCCATTGAAACTATGAATACATTAAAAACAAAAAAATACAAAGCTCGTCATCTGTACATTGAACGTGTGGCAGCCTTGGTGCAAAATTAGCACCACATGCCCAGCATTAGTGCATCCAACAGGATGGTACTAGTACGTGCATAAATTAAATAACTCCACCTTTAACTGGATTTCTCTCTTCAAATAGTAGTCAAAGATAGATTACGTTTTCCAAAAAGAAATTTGTTGACATATTTGTAAAGATGGAATAGACCCCAGGTCACATGATGCTGCTTCTTCAGGTTAAAAAAAGAAATCAACTAAGAGCAACGGTATTTTTTAATAAGTATAAGATGGTTGTTGGAGAGTACATTTGCAAAACTTAGATAAATAAATCAAATCTAGACTGGGCTATACAACTGAACAAGATAAACATGCTTCAAAGTAAAAAGTGAAATTGAAATGCGCAATAATATTCTATATACAACATAACTATCTTCAGTTCCAGTATGTTATAAGATTATTACTAACACTTATTCCTTCTAAACTATACCTCTCTCTACAGAATTACATTTGTATTTACCTCTTCAATTCAACTATTTATAATAAAAAGGAAAGGATGTAAAGTAATCAGTATCCACCCAGGGCAGTCTTTAATGCTATAAAATAGTAAACCATAAATTGTCCACCAGAAGGTTGAAATTCAACCAAAAACCTTTAGCTAGACATATTGGGATATTAGAAGAAGTAACAAAAAAAAATTTCTAAAAAGGAAATTTATCATAAGTAACTAGTCAAAAAAGTGAGAGAGAGAGAGAGAGAGAGCTTCATGAGCTAGTAGAGCTTTTTGACATATTTTCAAACACACTATAGAGAGGATACAAACCTGCAATGATAACTCCTCCAACACACTACAAAAGATACCCGTGCCTGTAATTATGGATTGCTTCACGACCATAGCATTTTCATCTTTTAAGAATGTCATTAAAACTGGCATTAGTACGGAAAAATGCTCCAATGCTTTCAACCCAATGTCCTCAATTACACTGCAAACCGTATAGCCAGCAGTCAAAATAATGAAAACAAACATAAACAATGATACAGGAAATCCAATATGGGGGGAAGAAGGGCAGGGGAGCAGGAGAAGAACAGAATCTACATGATGTAAAGCAAAAATGGCACCTAACGAACCTTATACCAGACACATAAAAAAGGAGCAAAAACAGAAAAACATGAATGTGATATCCTCTTTCTTTTCATCAAAAACATCTCTTTATTTCTGATTCATAACTCAAAGCTTTTTTCTGATATGCCTAACAGATAAGTGCCATCAACAATCTGTCAACATGTTGAAACAAATTTTAAGGTCCAGACAAACCACAACAAGGAAATGGCTCTAATCAACTTGGTCACTCAAACACTTCCATGAGAATGTTCCCTTTTATTTTCTAATAATGTTATTTGCTTACCAATATAAACCTATTTCCTTACTCTACAAGTTTATCAATGATCTGCCAGTGTATGTCCATAGGAACAACGGCAGCATCTTAGTTACTAAAATAAACACTTCCATGAGAATGTTCCCTTTTATTTTCTAATAATGTTATTTGCTTACTAAGATAAACTTATTTCCTTACTCTACAAGTTTATCAATGATCTGCAAGTGTATGTCCATAGGAACAATGGCAGCATCTTAGTTACTAAGATAAACACTTCCATGAGAATGTTCCCTTTTATTTTCTAATAATGTTATTTGCTTATGAAGATAAACCTATTTCCTTACTCTACAAGTTTATCAATGATCCGGCAGTGTATGTCTATGGGAACAACGGTAGCATCTTAGCCCACCACTCAAGCCACAACCTCAATCATCTATGTAAGGTAATTTAATTATAAGTACATTTCCTTACCATGCTCATGTACATAAATTGCATGTACTTATCCATTATACACCATCACCAAAAATTTCAATTTAAAATGTTAATTCTGTAAATCTAGTGAATTGCATGCTTTCAAAAAATAAAAAAGCAGCATTGTCAGTTTCTTTTTTCTGGCATAAAATGCCTTCCTACCAAACTGAATGCCAAATAAATGAAGAAAATCCTTTCGCGCATAAAATGAAAATTTCATCAGAACTTAAAACAAAATGGACAAATAAATCAAATTTACACCGGCTATCTATCATCTTACAAAATTATTAAAAATTCATCATAAAAAAAGGACAAAAAGCAGATACTAAGAACTTCTTGAATTATACTAGTGAACACAATTAAGTTTCTAAGAACACACTTTGCATCTCCATTTGAATTGTAAAATGACATTCAACAAAATTTAAGCTAAACCGAGAAGCAGAATAACAAGGTATCAGGGTTACACGTTAAAGAAGACAATGTATTAAACTTTTCCTTTAATATCGGTGAAATTTTAAGAATTTCAAATGTAAAACATACTCAACAAGGGTTTTTCGAACGAGACTTTCAGGCGATGACTGAAGCTCGACCAGAAAAGGAAATAGTTCGGCGGCTTGAAACGGCTCAGCCGCTAACAGAATATCTTTTGCTTGCTTCAAAGACGATATCTTTACTGCCAAATCGCCGTGGTTGTTTGCGGCGGCAAGTAAAGCCATCGCCTGCTCCCGCGGCGGTGGTGCCGCCATGCCTCAACCTAATTCCGATTAAATTAAGCTAAATAGTACTAAAAATATTTCTAGAGTTTTGAATGAGAAGCAATTTAAAATTTTTTGTAACGTCAATTACCGGCAGCTCGTTGCAGAGACGCTGTCACCGGGCAGTTTTAAGAAGGGTAATCGGAGAAAGGAGAAAAATCGGAGAAATTTTTGGAACTAAAAAATTTTTGAGAGGTTGAGGTCTAGTGGTCCGGGACTATATAGTCATATAAATTGGGCCCAATTGGACAACTTGGATTTGACTGTGCTTCATTCATCTTTTATTTTAGGTCCAAAAATTCTGGATCTTCTAACTTCCGTTTTCTTGGGCGGTTTATGAAACAGCCAGGTGGGTTTTTATCTCGCAACCATTTTGGACTTAGAGAAGAAAATAGAAAAGAACGGAGATTCTGAGGAGGCTAGCAAAGCTCACTTGGGTCAATGGGCTTTGTAGTGAAACTCGTGCCGGGGCCGTAAATGTTCTGCGTTGTGACAAAAGAATCGTGGTTACTGGTTAGATTCGACCGATCTAACCAGTTAACTGACCTTCAGATTTCTGATTAGACTCCCAAATTTTATCCTCTTCCCCTTCCCCTTTTATAAGGTTTGAAATCTAGTTTAGGAAAAAAAATTGTGATTGCACAATAATGAGATTTTGATTAATGAAATTTGTTATGAGATGGATTTGTGATGTGGCTGACAAATTTTTTAAGAAGAGGGCAAGAAAGAGGCAATGCATTTGAAATTTTTCATAACCTGTGTGCTTATTTCAGTAGACGTCCAAACTTCATGCGACGTCGTTTTCCTCATTTTAGTCATTTTTACTATTTTTAATGTTATTTCTTTTCGTGTCTAGCTTAGAACTTCTCTATTACAAAAATATAAACGTGATAGGGCTTTGTTATTCAGACTTTTAACATTATTAATCAAATATTCCTGATTTTTGCCAAATTTTCTCAAGTTCTTTAAAGGTTTTTGTGATTTATTTGGGATTTGGTCGTGAATCATTCCCTTTGTTCTTCAGAAATTGTTCATGAAACAATTTCTTAAAACAGATTTTTGTGTCAGTTGGTATTAGAGTAATATTCGCCTGTTCTTGAAATATTATCAATGGTTGGAAACAAATCCAGAGACAAATCTTTTGCCCTTAAGATAGAGATTCAGGTTATGAATGAGAGCGCATGGATGGTTTGAAATAAGGATGCAATGAACTATGAATTCAGGTGAACCGTATCTAAATATCTGTGAATTTACTTGTGCAATATATGAATAGTATGCGTATCACGGGATAGAATCAACAAGATGAATAGGATAGGAGAGTCACTCGTAACTTGCCTCTTGTTAACTTGGGTCAATAACCACGACATCAGGATCAGACGAATCAAAATCCTCGCAGAAGACTGAAAAATAAGAAGGATGATTTGTCTGACAAATGGACAGTTATTGCTTTTAGCCCCAATAACCTTAGCTAAGGAGGTTTTCAACATTGACAGAGGGAACTGGATAAGTACAAGCTTAAGGTGAATATTCTATCATACAATGACTATTTAAGCATCGAGGACTTCTTGAATTAGCTTGCAGAGATTGACGAATTCTTTGACTGTATAGAAGTTCTTGAGAACTGTCAAGTCAAGTTTGTGGCTTGTAAATTGAAAGTCAGAGCTCGACATCATGGGAGCAGTTGCAGCATCCAATGGTAGATGAACATGAGGTGCCTAAAAGGCAACCCACGAGGCAATCTTAACCTAACAACACGAAGTCCCCTGACCTGTATGCAAAATTCATAGGGGACAAGTGTAATAAGTGTGAAAAGTTGGGGCATGCCTCTAATAATTGCCCTGACCAAAGGCAAATAAATCTGGTAGAGCATGTTGCCATTATTAGAAATGTAGTATAAACCGGCCAGATGGTTTTAGACTGTAGTCGTCCTTCGTGTGCGTTTCACGTGTTTTTTAGTTGTTATTGCTGTTTTTTTTTCCTCTTTTGGCTAAAGAAGGATCTCTCTGCTTTGGAATAGACCATGTATTGTTGCGCTTTTTATTTATATGTGTGCAAACGGCGGATTCCTCATCTCATTACCTTATAACCAACAGATTTTGTTTGAAAGGCGGCTGCATTGTCATCATTGCTATCATTTATTATTTATTACAAATAAATTCTGCTGGCATGCTCTGTGTTTGTAACGGTGGTTTGCTGTGCCTGCAAGCTAATAATTTCTTTGGTTTCCAGCACTCCTCTTCACAACTTCTCGTGCATCCTCTTCCCTGTTTTTCAGAGCTTCTCTTCCCGGCTTTTTGTTACCGCCGATGGAACCCTGCCTTTTCATCTCCGCTGGCATGCTCTCCACTGGTCGTGGAGGTTTATTCTACCTTCAACCTACTAATTTCTTTGATTTCCAACACTTTTCTTGCCAGCTTCTCGTGCTCTTCTTCTCTGCTTTTCATATATTCTCTTCCCTGCATCCGCGTCCTTATTATCCCCCCTATTCTGTCCTTCTTTTTGGTACCTCTTCGGCATCTTATTTGTCTTCTCCTTGCCAGTATAGCTTGTTTTCTTGTACTCTCTATTTAACTTTCGTCCATCTGACCCGTATTCCTGTCCGCTTTGCTCACGCTCCCCTCATCATCAGCGTTGTTCTTTCTACTGCAACTACAACAACAAGAAGGTAACTGTTCTGTACTTCTTTTCGTTTCTCTTTCAGCTCTTTTTCCCCTCCTTTCCCACCCCATTTGAATCTTGCATGCATTTTTAAATTGGCTAGCTTTGCTGCTTATATTGCTTTTCCCTACTTTCTTTGCTCTACCTTGCTTCCTCTTTTTTTGGCCTCTCCCTTTCCATTCCATACACACACTGCTGCCTTGTGCGCGTGCCTTTTTAACCTTAGCTTCTTCGCCGCCTTCTGTTCCTCTTTAACAAAAATGATCTTCGTCCGCTGTTGCTTGCCCTTGGTGACGCCATTCCCATCGTTCTACTGCCTTGCTCGTGGTTTCATATTGCGCCTTGTTAGGACTCTCGCTATCTGGCTTGCAAGACTACTTTTGTTTTGAAGTCGCTTCCATTGTTTGCTTAGCGGTTTCGAGCTCCATGGATAGGAATTCTATCCGTCGCAAACGCTACCTTGTAATGCCACAACATCAGAATGATGCCCTTTTGCACCGTCGTCAGGATGCTTACGCTGCAAACAAGAGCAGGCTGCTCCCTTCTGTTTCGGACTGTGCCCATGAGCCTGTTGTCGCCTCTCAGGGTTCCTTCCCCGTCCCGCTAGACGCAGGTTTGCTTATTCCTGGCTCTTCCGGCCTGCATTCGCATACTCTTATTTACAATCAGTCAAGACCTAACTTTGCCTTGGACATGCAGAATATCGAACTTCTTTTGGGAAAGTTGCACCAACAGCTGAAAAGTAAAAAATTCTTAGCCCATGTCAAGCCTGTGCAGACTCCTCTAGCAAATGGAAAGCGTCGCTATACAATGCAGCACCATGCAGAAATCTCTGATGGAACTCATTCAGGCCCAACCGTGGAAGAAGAAAGCTTTTTTCCAAAAACTAAGCTTTCTCTCATTGACAGATTCAACAATTGTGATGATGCACAGGAAACCACCTCACCGAATTCTGAAGCCAGCAAAAACAAAAAAGCCAGGCAAAATTAGGGAAAAAAAATATCTGTATAGTTAAGGCTTTTGCTCACATTTTTGCTCTCTGCTGGATGGTTGCCACCAGAGTTATCCAAACTCATTTTGTCAGCAGGTTTTTGATAGTAATGCGGCCTGTATTAATTAACTAGACATGTTCTTTTATAATTATGCTCGTCAAATTGAGTACTGAAATGCATTATGCTCTGAAAGCAAGTTTGGTATTTTTCCCTCATCATGCCTTGTTTGTTACTGCGAATAGCCACCATGACATATACGTAGTTGTTACTTTCTTTGGCCACAGAATCTATGGAAATGGGATCATTTGACCAGTTTTCTTTTAAACGCTAAAATATGAGTCGAACAACCACAAGTTCAAAAGTGTCGTTCCATTTTTTTTTTTTAATACATATTCAAACCTTCTCTTCTTCATACTTAATACGATACGACAGCTTTGAAAGCATTCCACCTTTTGTGAAGTTCTAAGAAATGAAAGTGCTATGGCCACGGCCATTGTGATTATCAAAGACTTCTTTTATACTATGGCAGGTCATGCAAACCCATAGTGCCATTAATTACTCTGTTAGTTTCAAAGTTTTCAGGCATGCTTTGCCTACAATCACTAATGAACCTGCCAATATTAATTGAAACACTTAATATTAACACATTAACTACAAATACTTCCCCAACCAACTAATCCGGTCTCCCGGGCTACGAATGCGTTCTTGTACATAATATATAAACGAACTGTGCCATGAAGAATATGAGCTTATGAATCTCATAGAAATGGAGGAGTTGGAGAGTGTTGGCTCTTCCAATTTGTTAGCCAAAGATAGAGCTGCAAAGGGATACTGGTTCTTATTTAGATTTACTGAGCCTGAACAGGTACTAAGAAGTTTTAGCATTTTGCTGCTATTAGCATATCGTGCCATCTCATATCGCTTCTCATGCAGCTTATATTTACATATACACTGCAGATATTGCCTATTCCATTTCAAGCCCTTCTAATCAAACACCGATGTAGCCAGCTAACTATAAGAGAAGGGTACAGAACTTGGATTATCAAGCTTCAGCGGCAGTCATTCACTGAAGGATGGCAAGAGTTTTGCCACAGCAACATCATCAAGGAAAATTACTTTTTCTTGCTCCGACATTCTGGTCACCTAATCTTCGATGTCATTTGTGAGGACAAAAAACAAGTATACATGCCATGGACAGATCCTCTACCTAATATGCTGCATTCCCAGCTATCCCTCGAGTTCAGAAGTTGAGGGCTAAACATTTTTGTTCTGTATCAACCTTTTTTTTATAAATTTGTTTCTCTCATGCGAGTGTCCTTTACTTCCAGGTGATAAGAAGCAGAAAATGCTACGCCAGCGAGTGTCATCATCCATGAGGCCTGATTTCGTACAAACCTTAACCGAAGGCGTGTGTTTCTATCAATTCATTGACAAACTGAATCGGCATAATTTTATGAGTTTAATATATAGATTTATTCAATTTTTTACATCTATATCCCACAACACTCATAGCTCTTGGTCCATGCAATGCTAGAAAGTCCCAAGGTTTGTTGCTCAGTTCGTCTATAGCACAAAAACTCCTTCGATTACTCTGAAGACTGGAAACAAAACAATAACTGTTTCAATGCGTGGAAGGCAATTTACGGACAACTGGAACATCTTTGTGGCAGAGTACCAACTACAGTTTCGAGAAGTTTTGGTCATTGTTCCTAAATCCGTTACTACCTACACTGTTATAATCTTTGATAGACACAGTGCAGAAAAACATTTCCCATGGTATGACAACTTTTATGTGTATTCTACCATGGGAGATACGACAACTTAGTTTTATCCTAATGACTCTTCTAATGAACGTGTAGTTTGAAATCTCCATGTATTCCTTTGTTGTCCATTTTCTCCGTGTATGTTTGTGGTGCACATCATGCATTTCCCTTTAAATAAAAGTTACGTATTTTACACCTATCCTTACAAATATATTCCTTATTCATGAATGCACTTTATATAGCACCCTTTACGCTCTTTCCTATGCCATGAATCATTAACATAATCTCTTCAATTAATCCGATTCAAAAATTCATAGCTCAATTTTAAACTCTGATTGCATAACAACAAATGCTGTCTAGCTTTTGATCCTGGGCATATATACAATTTCCCACCGTGCACAAGCGCGGTGATCGTTTCCTAGTTGATAATAATTGCGTAAAGGACTACGTATGTGAAGCAGAATCCAAAGAAAATGAAAAGAGGAGGAGTTCGAGGTTGCCATATACGTGATTTGTAAGATGCTATAGATATCGAAACAAAAAGAGGAGACACAACATCATAAACTCTTTCAAAGTAGGTTTTGCATTTCCAAGAAGTTTCTTGATGTGGTTATTGATAGTGATAGTTCTGAAAATATTATATTTAGACAACTTGTTAAGAAGCTTCAATTACCTGTTGAAAAACACCTTAAACCCTACAAAATGGATTAGATTAAAGAGGTATAAACTATTAAGGTGGTAGATAGGTGTAAAGTACGTTTATCTATCGGCCAATATTCTAATCTTGTCATGTGTGATACGGTAAATATGAATGTTTGCCAATTATTGTTAGGATGTCCTTGATAGTATGAAGCTGATGCTAGCTTTATGTGTAGAAAATGTCCATAAATCTATGAAGGATAATCAAAATGATCACTTTGGTCCCTAAAAACCAAAGTGAACATTCTAAACATGTGAAGGAAGCCAATGATAGCAAGGAGATGCTTATTGCTACCAATACAAGTTGAATTCATTGCCAGTATCAAGGAGCCGTAGGAGGTGACAATGAGCCATAAAGTCATGAGATTGATGTCCTTCATGAGATTTATGAGGATGATGACGATTTCAAGAAGCTATGGCTTGCTTGTAAGATCAAAAGAACACGGAATGACTTTCACATCTATGATGGTTATCTTTTCAAAAGTAATTGGTTTTGCATTCTTTATGTCTCTTTGCGTGAGAAACTAATTTGCATGGTGGTGGTTTTAGTGGATATTTGGGTATGGCTAAAACTACTTCTAACCTTGAGTCACGTCATTGTTGATCATAGTGAAAGCATGATGTGTGTGAGTATGCATGGAAGTGCAATACTAATCAGGTAGCAAAAAGCAAATTGCAAAATACTAATTTATTTGCTCATTTGCTGGTTCATGAGGGGATTTGGGAGAACTTGCCCAAGGATTTCATTGTTAGACTATCTTGTACTCAAAGAAAGGTGGATGGGTTTTCTAAAATAGTGCATGTTATTCCATACCGCAAGATTTCAGATGCTTTACATATTGCACGCCTTTTTTTGGGTGAAGTGGTTCGCTTGCATGGAGTACCCAAGTCTATCACGTCCAACAGAGACACCAAATTTTTTAGTCATTTTTGGGTCGCTTTGTGGAAGATATTTGACACCTCATTGAACTTCAGCAGTACTGGTAATTCCACAAATGGATAGCAAAATGGAGGTGGTCAAGCATAATTTGAGGAATTTGGTGTGTTGTATCTGTTTCTTAAATGGAGTTTGCATTCAATAGTGTGTTGTACATGGTTCTATTGGAAGATCACCATTTTCTATTGTGTACATTCAACAGCTTAAACATGCAGTGAATCTTGTGAAGTTACTTAATATTTTAGGGTGTATGTTGCACTTTACTTGGGCCTGGATTCCAGTTCAATCAACTGTTAAAGGGATTCATGTTATGGAGCATGCTCCTAGTAATCTAAAAAGTGTTTAATGGAGTATGGATATTTAGGGAATGTATTAATAGTGATGCAAGTGAATCCACTTTTGGCTTAGAGCAAGTCGGAGTATCAATGTGCTACCTAAACTAAGCAACGATTTTTTGGTCATCAAGACATGTGAATCCTTTACTGCAAACCAGTTGTTGACAAGTTACTCTAGCAAGACAGCAGAGCTTGATTAGGGACTAGTTTTCTTGAAGATATATTGGCATTATTCTCTAGCAGACTAGTGTAGTTTCTCATATGCTTATAAAAAAAAAAAGACGCACTAAGTCACAGAGTTGCATTATTTGCCACAAAACTTAGGAAAGACGTTAGATGAAAGAATGATCTTCTCTTGTGGTTAGTTGAATTACCACAGGCAGACATGGACAGTTGCCCATCGTACTAGAAAAGATTTTTGGTGATTAATAGAATGTTGTCGCTTTGGACCGTGCGACGTGGAAGCCACATCTCATTTTCTCCTTGAGTGAAATTAGGAGTAGTTGGCCATCAGGGGAATTTTTAAATTCAGATTCTCATTGAATGTAGGTCAAGGGATCGAATCTCTTGGTCTGTATTCTTATCTAAGATTTCCTCAAAATTTCATCAACGGGTGCAAAAGGTACCAATCCAGTCTGGTAGCGGGGCTGCATTCTTGTTCAAAATTTCCTGCAATTTTCATTAACGGGTGTAAAAAACACTCACCTGGTTTGGTCTGGTGACGATTCAGTCCTCTCTGAATTTTCCATTCATCCCCTTGGATCCACTCATTCTTGTCTAAGAAATGGCTGCATTCTTCTCCAAGATTTTTTGAAAATTTCATCAATGGGTGCAAAAAACTGATCCGGTGGCGATTCCATTCCCTCTAAATTTCCCATTAACCCCATTGAATCTACTCCTCTCCCTTAGTGTAGAGTAGGAATAGGTGTAAAATAAAATTTATCGTGTTCAGAAAAAAGAAATCTCTTCTCTTCCTTGAAAAAAAAATCCTCTTCTCATAAAAATAAAACCACCTTCCATTTCCTCTTTTTTCCTTCTTTTTTTTTTTCCTGTTTTGCTTCTATGTTTTGTATACAGGAAGAAAGTAAAGTAGAAATAACTAGATTTGTAGTTAGATTAAGACACAATGTTGAATGGAATTATAGCTTCCCACTTTGGGTCATACAGTAATTAGATGAAGCTATTCATTTATTTATATTGAAGTTGACGTATAGTTATTTAGATTGTAAATAGGAGTTTTTCTTATAAATTAATTAATGAGTAATTTCCTTACAGAAGGCTACATGTTGGAATTTCGGTTGACTTTTCTAGACTGGTAAAAAAAAAACTTCTATTCCTTTTCTATTGTTATTTATTTTAGGGTAAAAAACAAAAAAAAATCCTATAGTAAGCCTAATACAAAGAAAAATCCCCTATGATTTTAAAATATACAATACGACACCTCATGCTTTGAATTAAATTGTAAAGGTGATGGAATCCGTTAAACTTAACGGAAATGACTTATTGAAATCTAAAACAAAAATTTTATACTTAATTTTTATCAAATATACCTATTCTACCCCTTAACCCTCAATTCTCTCTATTTATACAATAAAACAAATGATTTTTTTGAGTCGTCTTTTGCTTAATTATATCAGGGCATTTTGATCATTTTGTCTATTTCTGTTAAGTTTAACGGATTCCGTCACCTTTATAATTTAGTTCAAAATATGAGGGTCGTGTGGTATATTTTGAAACCATGGTAGATTTTTTTGTATATTAAGTTCAACACATGGGACTTTTTTGTTTTTTACCCTTTATTTTAGATTCCCAAGCTAGGCGTAATAGCGGGTAATTCAAAGGCGGATTCTAATAACACTAGGCAAAACTACGCCTTCATAGTTCGTCACTCCTCAGTAGCATAACAACCGCGCCATCATCCATCTCGAAGAGTCAATCGAGGCAAAAGTGGAAGCCAGCATCAGTCATCGGTAGAGTTGTTCGTGAGCCGAGCTACTCGCGAGTAGCTCGGTCAACAACTCGACTCGAACTCGGGTTGACCGAGTTCGAGTCGAGTTTCGAGTAACTCAACTCCAAATCGAGTCGAGTATCGAGTCGCATATTTCGAGCTCGTGGCTCGTCGAGTAGCTCGACGAGCCAGAGTTAATTAAATAAAATATTTATAATTTAAATAATATATATTTATTATAATTATAAAATGACCATTATGGGTATAGGTTATATGAAATTTACAATATTACCTTCTTTATAATAAAATCCTATAATGGCAAAAAAGTAATAACATAATTGTAAAAAACACTAAAAAAAAAAAATGTCTAAAAAAAAGGAAGAAAAGACTTTCTTCCTTCTCTGTGCCGACTGTGCGACTTTCTTCTCTGCTCGAAGAAAGCCTAGCAAAAAAATTCACTTTACCAGCCGGCAGCCGACTCTGACTGATTTAGATCTACACCCTCACTCCGTTCGTCGCCGACGCCGTTGCTCGCCGCATCTGTGAGACTCCATCGCCATCGCCATCGCCATCGCCATCGCCATCGCCTTAACAAGTCCCAAGTCCCAAGTCCCAAATCGAAGCTGCTCTCTGCCTCTCCGGCCTCCGCCAGTCCGCCGCGCTGTACGTCTCCTGTCGGCTGTGTCCTGCCGTGCTGGTTCATCGCTGCCGAGTGTCGAAGACGAAGCACCAAGATCTCACTGGTTCATCGCTGGTTCATCACTGCTCATCTCTGGAGCACTTAGGTAAGTGCTCCTCTGTTTTTGGCTCTGTGTCTCTGGCATTAAAATGGGCCAAGATCGACTAGGAAACTTGTTATCCTGAATTGATAAGGGGACGAAATCTGAGCTTCCAAATGCAAACTCTAACTGTTGTAGTAGTTTAGATTAGGTGTGATATAACATAAGCTTTGTATTTTATACACAAGAAGCTCTCTCCAGTTGTGCAGCCTTTAAAAGTTAAGGCCTTGGGGTTGAGGCTATGTATAGACATTTGTAATCTTGTAGAAAGTGGGGTTGAGGCTATGTGTTGGTGTTCCACTTCGGGTGTTTTGTTTACGGAGTCTTGAAGGTCTTAACTTGCTTGTTTGATGCTAGAGTTTGCACCCTTGCGACTTCTGAAAGATTTACATTTCTGGGACCACACATGTATTAGCTTTAAGTACAATGTGATTTCTGTGCTATTTAGTCAATTTTTATAATTTCATGGCTGAAAGGAATAAATTTGCTTATTTTATGTGTTCCTGGGTAGTTAAAACCTTTATTTGAAGTTTTTGTAGTAGAAGCTACATTCCATCAGATAGTTGTTAGTGTTGTTTGAGGATTTTGCTCTAGTATCTGCTGCATTTTCCTTTTTTGCCTGCCGTTTGTATAAACTTAATGACTATTGTCTAGTTTTGTTGCATTAGTTCGTGCCTGCATTAATTTTTTTGCTCAGAAATATTAATTGTTAGATTTGTGTCGTTTTCTTGTGATTCTAGTTTGGAACTTGTTCTTTTCATTTTCTTGTTATTCAAGTTATATTCCATCAGAGAGAGAGGTGTAGCTGTATTTGAGCATTCATTTTTGCATGTTGAAAATAAGATCTTGAGTGCTGTTGATTGCTATTTTTAATTTTACTTTTATTACAAATGGATTTAGATCTGCTTTGTACGTAGATGATTATACTTGTGTTTATGCATGTAGCTGTGCCAAAGTTTATCGGTCTTCATACATGCCCTTATGACCTCCTCAGTTGAGCACATGCGCATGCCTTTCTCTCTCTTTAGATTCAACTCCTGGATACTGAGTTGACTGGTTGCATCTCTACACTATTGCTGTCATCTCCTATTATGATTCTTTTAAGGAAATATGGTTTTACCGACATTAATCCCAGGGTTCCATTGTTGGGCAGGACTTAACAACTTATTATGGTCCTATGCTATGAGGCATTTGTCGTGGTAGAAGAGTTCCTTTTCTTCCCTTGTTTACCCGCGTATAGAAGTATAAAGCTGTTTACAGTCACCTTTGATCTGGTTTTTTGGTCAAATCGAGTCAAAAAGCTTGATAAGACTCGACTTGATAAGGCTCGATTAAAGATCGAGCCTTATCGAGTCGAGTCTCGAGCCTAAGGAAATTCTTCGAGTCGATCTTCGAGTATCGATTTTCGGGCTCGATCGAGCTCGAGTCGAGCTCGAGCCTCTGTGTGTATGAGTCGAGTCGAGCTCGAGTATAGCGATACTCGAGCTCGACTCGACTCGATTACATCCCACTCATCGGCGATCAACAACATACTAGTTGCTAAGTAAATTCTTTTCTCCTCTTCCTTTTCTCTCATATTAAACTTGCCCAAAAAGATAAAAATTCCCCGCTCCCCCAAAAGAAGAGGCGATTCATTGCTTATAATTAACGCTAATTACTATATAAACTCGGAATTCTCTTGCAAGGCTGTAGGGTTTATCGCATTTGGGGAGAATCGTCCCTTCAATCAAAATCATGGAGGAGTGGGATCAGACGACGAAATCAACGCTAACCCAGATCCCATTACTGACCACAAAAGCGGGTCCACGCGACGGGGCGGCGTGGACGCAGCGGCTGAAGGAGGAGTACAAGGCGTTGATAGCTTATACCTCGATGAATAAGTCCAATGATAACGATTGGTTTCGGATCTCCGCTGCCAACCCGGAAGGGACCCGGTGGACCGGCAAGTGTTGGTACGTTCACAACCTCCTCAAGTATGAATTCGACCTCCAGTTCGATATCCCGGTAACTTATCCAGCTACAGCTCCCGAACTTGAGCTGCCTCAATTGGATGGCAAAACTCACAAGGTAATTGGACCGAGTTTTTAAAGTAAAGTTCTGATTTTTTAAAATTAATTTGATTGGTTTTGATGATTTTTCTCTTTTTTAATTTATGAAGATGTATAGAGGTGGGAAGATTTGCTTGACAGTGCATTTCAAACCGCTATGGGCAAAGAATTGGTACGTCTTTCGTTTTTATTGGTTTTGATTTGAATGTTTATATCAATTTTCGTTGTTTCATTAGTGAAGTTTGGTCCAATTTTTTTTTTTTTTAAATTTTGGGTAATTTATGGAATTTGTCTGCTGCATTTGTATTTTTTGGGGAGTTAAATATTAGAAAAATGGTTTCTCAGGAAGTTGACTAGTGGTTTTGATTGATTACAGATGTGATTGTGTTAATTTTGGATTGTATATATGTGTTTTTCTTGTGCTTTCTATGAGGGTAATTAGGATAGACGTTGGTTCTAAGGAATTGAAGTAGTATGCTGTATGGTTACTGGAGATAAAATGGCAAACTGTGGTTTTGCAGGGAGTTGTTTGGTAGGTCGGATTAGCAGTGTAGCAGTGCTGATTTTGGGTTATATTTGCTGGTTCTCTGAAAAAATCTTTGGTATCCATGGATAGTGTCCAATGTCAAAAAACCAGTTAGAAATCAATAAGCTTTCCAGTTCTTTTGCTTTAACTTCTGACCATTTACAGCTATTCTCACTCCATGAAGTATGGGCCCACAAAGGTCTGGAGTGACAGTGGTCTCGGTAATCTACTATTCTAGTTGTTGGAATTTAGGGGCAAATCCTGAAGAAGGCGAGAGCTAGCTTAGGGGGCCCCCTCCTAAAGTCATGAGAGTTGGTCAGAAAAGCGTGCTCATAGACTATATTGAGGAGTAAGTAAAGGGCTTCCATGACAATCAGATCCTTCTTATCTGGCATGGCTCGGGTTTGCTTTGATGATGGGTAGGCTTCTTGTGCTTTGGCTTGGGCTGTGGGCTTGGGTTAAGGGATGGACTCTGGAGGAGGTGATAAGCTGGATAGTGGATTCCAGATTATTGAGGAGGGAAGAATAAGGGTACTGACTCGCCTGGTGACTAAAATGGAGGTTAAAACAGCAGTTTTTAGCATGGTTGACTTTGTAAGGTAGTAAGCATGAGAAATGTGGTTCCTTGTGAAGTAAACAAGTGCATTGTTTCATTATTAATGCAAAGTTATTGATTATATTTGCATATGTTGGGTAAGATGACTGCAGGGAGAAATACGTAAAGCTTTAGATATGCCGTAGTGTGATTATCCTTGCTTCATTCATGTATGATGCTGCAATGAAGGTAGTGGGAGAGTCCCACTCTTTTTGAGTGTTGTTGGCAACTTTTAAAATCTGAATTTAGGTTTTTAATCTTAATTTAATTGTGCTTTCATAGATGATGTCACCATAGGTCTTTTTGTTTTTGTATTTTCTCCTCCCCTTTCTTGGTATGGTATTTTTTTGTGATTTTAGTGGATTTGATCAAGTTACACTTGTTCTTACACGTGTGATGTTCTTGCAGTCCTAGGTTCGGAATAGCTCATGCACTGTGTTTGGGCCTTGCACCATGGCTTGCAGCAGAGATTCCTATACTTGTGGATTCCAGCATGATTAAACACAAAGATGATGCAGCCTCTTCCAGTGAGGTTTAATTACTTAAAATTGTATCCTAGATGAGATAGACTCGCTATACAAGTTTTGGAGCTCTCAGCTTGGCCTAATAAAATAAATGCCAAGCTGTATTGAGATTGTTGATGAGGAGTCCTTGGAGATGTACAAGTCAATCATATATGCTAACAGACTGGTTTCAGAGGCTTCATCTGTGTTTTTTTTTTTTAAATATATTTTTGGTAACATCAATCGTTGTTCTCTTTTTGAAGTTTCTTTAACTTACTTTTACATTTTCATTCACTAGGGGGGGGAGGGTTGGGTTGGGTGGTACGGGGGGAGGGAATATAAGTAAGAGGTCTCGGGTTCGAATCCTCCCACTTACACTTAAAAAAAAAAACATTTTCATTCACTAAGCATTTCCTGCAAATTTGTGATGTTCGAATAGTTGTTTGTAAACTGCGGAATGTATTTCATCTTTCTGTGCTATGGTGATCAAATTATTTGGGTGAGCTATCAAGGTAATTACTAGAAACTACAATCAGGAATTTTTTCTCTAGGGGTACTACTGTTTAAGGAGTTAAGGGAGGAAAGGATCGACAGAACAGCTAGAGTCAGGTCGTATTTTATTGATATTTATCATTATGAATATGAAGACAGCTTCTTGTGATATCTGCTGATTACCAGTAAAGCTGTGATCTGTTTGATATAAATGCTAAAAGTTATTGTTAAGTTCCTTTTATTAGCTAACTTAATCCTCTCTGTTTCCTAGCTTTGTGAACCTAAAGCTGAACCTCCCCTAGTCTAGCTGAATGCTTTAGTGCCATTAACTTTGTGTCCGCAACTAGTCTTAGCTGTTTGATCTTAATTGAGCAAGTCTTTTCTTTTAGATTTGTCTTACAGTCATTGAGAGTGGAACCCTTTTAAGAGTTGAATATTTTAGTTTACCTGCACTATTAAAGCCGTTGAAGGGATTCCTGTCAGGCCTTTGACGAAACTAGCAAAGAATATGTTGATTGCATGGCTGCATGCTATGCCCTAATCAACAATTTAAAAGGGTAGACAATCAGCCAAAAAGTTGATTTTATTAACAGAGTATGTTTCCTGCCGATGCTTCTAATTTAAGCCTGATAAGATCACTTGATATTTGTGTCAAGTGGTGGTAAAAGTGTTGCCGAACTGATACTTTGCATACAACAATGATGCTGGTTATTCTAGATTACCGGATTAGGAATTTTCGTTTCTAGATTGACTCAGTAAAAGGGATTGTAAGTAGGAGGTCTTGAAACCTATCACTTACTGAAGGGATTGTAAGTAAGAGGTTTTGAAACCTATCACTTAAAAAAAAAAAAAAAAAAGGAAGTTTTCTGTGGCTGAAACCATCTTTTCCTGAGCACGTTTCAATGTGAAAAGAGCAGGTTTAATGTACAATTCCTAGCAAATTGGTAGAAGTTCAACCTCTCAACTCATGAGTCCTTTGTCATGTTAATATACGTCGCAGTTGCTGCCTCCTCTGCCATGCGCAGCAGGTTGCTGCGTTCAATTTGAGTATTTGTTTGTGATGTCCAGTGCTCCCACCACCGTTTGAATTGCCATTTTTAGGAGTTTTCCATTGCTGATCAGCTTTTCACATTATACTAGTAGTATTTTAGCTGTCCTTAAAGATTCTTTTGACGGGATCAATTTCTCCAGCTTATTATAGGTTGAGGGGGGATAATTAATATAGGCCAGGGAAGATTTTGATACGTAATCTTTGTTCGTCTGCTTGATAGGTACTATGAATTGATTGGGTAAGAACAGTAACGATGAGTTCGCTAAATTACAGGCCACGAAATATCGGTCGCTTCAAATAAGTTCCTGTTGAACATTTGAAGATCTTTAATTGAGATTGTGCTGAGTTCAGTGTTCACTGTCGTGAACTTAACGATTAATTAGTTAAATTTAAACTGGGATTTTTTTTTTATAATTCTTTTAGTTATTTTTTAGTGGAAGTGACACCGCAAATTCAAAGATTTTGCCACTTTGCGCGAAGTGCCAACACCAGCACAGATTAATTATGACTTTTTTTTTTTTTTTGTTTCGAAAAAATATATACATAACTTGGGCAGTGGTTTGCAACTCTATGAATAGACGCCATTGGCATCTATTCATAGTTAATTTCAATGGGGTTTTGGAATGATGCAGGGAAAGACATGTTTCGTGTGTTGTCTTTGCGAATCCAAGGATACTTGGCTCAAGGGCCTGCAAGTGCAAAGCCAAGTTCCTTTTGTTCATGGCGAATCCAAGGATATTTGGCTCAAGGGCCTGCAAGTGCAAAGCCAAGTTCCTTTTGTTCATGGCTTCACAGCTCCGGAGAGTCTATTCTCAAGAAAACTTGAGGGCATTCAAGCCCTTGTAATCTTGTTTAATGGAGTAAAATTTTTCGTCATCATCAATATATGGATGAATTACATCACAGAACAAGCTGATAATGTTTCGAGTTTGAAGCGGCCTCGGTTGCAGCTTGATAGATTCACTGGCAGGAATAAAAGCAGGATGGTTGGTAATGACGCGGAGTTCTCTAATCAGTTACACAGATATATGATATATAATCACCGAAACAGACCGTCCTAAACAGAATGCTCTATTATTCCACCAACCATCGAGCACGGCAGTTTTTCCAAATTAGAAATTTGGACCAGCTGCAACAATCTCCTCCATCAGCTTGTTGTCCGCTCCGATCTTGTAGTTTGTGAATACCTCGAAATTTTTCTTGAACAGGCCGCCCAATTTCAGGAGAGTATCCTTGTAGGCCTTCTTGTCAGACCACTACAATTCAACAAAGAAAAAGGTTAATAAAACTAGTACTTGCAGCAGGGAAGTGATCAAGTACTGGAGGGGAAAATGTCAAATTTACGTCAAACTTACTGTGTTCTCAGGATTTAGGATTTCTGAAGGGACCCCTTCAATTTCAGTAGGGATCTCCAACCCAAACACCTCCGCCGTGGTGTAATTTGCTTTCAAAAGGGTCCCAGAGTGTATGGCATCAATTATTTTTCTGGTATAGGCTAATTTTATACGACTCCCGGATCCATAGCTGCAGATAGAGAGAAGGTTTTCCAATCATCAGATTTGCTGATCTATAGTCACTCGTGTAGCTGATATGTATACATCACTCATGAAGCTGAGATTTATATGTTAGGGGCTGCATGGTTTTACCTTCCACCTGACCAGCCAGTGTTTACAAGCCATCCAGTTGCTCCATGCTTTTTCATTTTCTCAGCCAACATTGCCGCATACTTGGTTGGGTGAAGCATTATAAATGCTGCACCAAAGCATGCCGAAAATGTTGCAGTAGGCTCCTTTATACCATCCTCTGTTCCTGCTACCTGTTCGGTAATTGCACAGGAGATAAATCAGGACTTTTATCATCTAAAGAGGATGCTCAGACTGTCCTGCCTTAAATGTTGCAATAATTTTATCTAGCTGTAAGAGACTTCAATAAGAAAGAGTTCGTAGCTTCAGTGAATACACACCAGAGCTGTGTAGCCACTGATAAAATGGTACATGGTCTGGGCTAAGTTCAATTTGCTGACAGGGGGGAGTACACCAAAGGCATCGCAGGCCAGAAGGATGACATTCTTGGGATGAGGGCCAACACAGGGTATCTTTGCGTTGGGGATGTATTCTATTGGATAAGCTGCCCGAGTGTTTTCTGCAGTCACAGTAGTTGCAAGGTTAGAACTTGGAATCAAATCCAATTTTTTTTTTCATCAAATTCAAATACAATTAAATGGAGTTGTTTTCGGTTAATAAGGTTATTTTCCACTAGATAGATTGAAGGTTATGCAACTTATTCTCAGCTTGAGGTACTCTTTTGTCACCTGTAACAGATTTATCTGTGTAATCCACCTCTCGATAGTGCTCATCAAAAACAACATTTTCCAGCACTGCAAAGCATTCAAAGGAAACAGAAAGAGAGTCTTAATATTTCCTGCATGATGACTTGGAAAGACAAAAGATTCGTTACTGTGAGACTGAGATAAATACCAGTGCCAAACTTTATGGCATTCCAGATATCAGGCTCCTTTTCCCTCGACAAGTCAATGCACTTGGCATAGCAACCACCCTCAATATTTGACACGCCATTCTCGCTCCAGCAATGCTCATCATCTCCAATCAAGTATCTATTGTGGTCCGTAGACAATGTTGTCTTTCCAGTACCTGATGCATGCAACAGATGAGAGAAAGCAAATAGCGTTAGGGCAGATAAAAAGAATCTGAGACTAGAAGAAGACGCGAAGACAAAGATCAAGAGCAGCATATATCAAAGGACACATGGTGGCTCCCTGCAAGAAGTCATCATCCCCATTCGTTATACCTGACAATCCAAAGAAAAGGGCAACATCTCCGCCTTTTCCGATATTGCAGCCAGAGTGTAGGGAGAGGATCCCGCGCTTAGGCATGAGATAGTGCATTAAGCTGAATAAACCTTTCTTCATTTCCCCAGCATATTGAGTGCCGAGGATGACCATTTCCCTCCTATCAAGATTCATGTCTATGCTAGTGGAGGAAGTCATATAGTGTGTGTAACGGTTACATGGGAATTGCCCGGCATTGTATATCGTGAAGTCCGGAGTACCAAAGTTCTCCAGCTCTTCAGGAGTGGGTCGGATGCACCTGCCACCCACCCAGGTAAATTTATGTACTAAGCTTATTATTCACTTTCTGCGGCTCCACATATTTCCTCAATTCAATTAAATCTTTTGCAAAACAAGACCTTTCTCTTTCACCAAAAATGCTTTCTTTCCAGTTGTTATACACACATATCACAGTGCATTGTAATAATCATCCTGACAAACTTGAATGCAGTAGAACAAAATGTTCAGTGTTCTGGAATGGTAACTTACATATTGTGCATGAACAATGAGTGGTAGGCTCTGGCAGAAACAATCCTAACTTTGATGCGGTGGTTAGGATCCCAATTGAGAAATTGATCATTCACATAAACCTGAAAAGCATATGTAGGATATTATCAAGTGTTTTATGTAAACCATCACGAAAACACACTGTATGGCAAAGTTGCGTTATACATATGGACATCACCATAGAACAAATCCTGCAGAAGATGCAATTATGGTTCTTGTGAAGACAAACATCAGCAGCACACGAATCTTATTGCAAATGCAGAGGGTATCATTAAAACAGTGAATTGATAGCCAAAGCTCGGGT